TCAATTGGCGAGCCAAGAAGGTGGGGGGAAACCAAAGCAGCTCAGTATCTCTTGTCCATTTACACACTGCTGGTCGGAAAAATACAGCAACAAACCTAGACTCGTTTGACTTGCAAACACAGAGAGATTGAACCGATTTCTCGAATTTTTCTCGAATTTAATAGATTTATCCCCACACTGATTCTGATTTTATACGAATACTTTCAACCTTTCAGGCTACTATGAACAGCAATATACCAACCCTTTTTGTTTCCCTCAAAAGACTCTTTATTGATTTGAATGCATTTACAAATGAAAAAACAAATTTCCTAGCTATTATAATTCATAAGATATCGGTGTTTATAAGGATGTACAGACCTATACATATTATTTATAATGATTCGTCTCGCCATGCTCAACATATATAGTATACTATACAAGTATGAACCTATATTTTGAACACTTTTTAACCAACATATAATAAACAAGCTGGCTGGATCCGTTGATTACCTAATTTAGAACCGACCACTAAATACATCGAACTAAAAGACCACTCTTTAAAGTAATACAATGAGCTTACAAAATGCTTCTCCATTTAAACCGATTGCTAAAAAACGAGCCAATGTCAGGCTATTAAATCTCTCTCTCTTTTGCTCCTATATTTAACTAGCTCTTAATAAATTTTTATAGCCTGTACCCAAAGGGTAAAAGGCTATACTAGTTTTGTGCGAATGTATGTAACACACAGAAGGAGGCGTGGCAGACCCCACAAAGTATATATATTATTGATCAGGGTGACAAGCCAAATCGATATAGCCATGTCAGTCTGTCCGTCCGTCCGTCTGTATGAGCGCAAGCATCTCAGAAGGTACAAGAGCTAGAATAACCAAACTCGGTATCCAGATTCCCATAAGCCCTAGGCAGGTCAAGTTTATTTTTTTATTCTTCTTATTTTATACACCCCCCCCCCCACACTCCCCTGCAGTTCGTGTTTTTACATGACTCCCGTAGTTCTTGGAATTTCGAATTAAAATTTGATAACTGCATCCCGTTAGTGATTACGTGTGATTATTATGTCTGTATGCCAAGTTTCATCATGATAGGTCAATTCTGAAGAAAGTTATAGCCATAAATAAAAACGCTGCCCATGCTCTTTTTTTCATTTTGACCTTTTTGGTGGGAGGTACAGGGTATATAAGAGTTGAGCTTGCTCCACTTCAGCATTCTTTTCTTGTTAAGCTCCTGTCTATTATGTTTTTCTTTTTATATTGGCAGATCTATAGACGCCTCTGACCCACTTGCCTGTGAGACGGCGCCTAGCTAGCCGAAAGGCAAATAATATTCTCCCACCTGGGCGGAGGCGTTTATTACATATAACGGTAATTTAATTATTTTTCTTCCACGTAGGCTTTTCTATCTTATAGGGATTCTTTTTTTTTTTTGTATAATTTTTATATACATTCGTGAATTTTTTATTGTGTTCGTTGCTTGTAAAATGCACAGCCAAAAGAAATTTAAGAATTGCGTCATCATATTTTTTCTTTCAGTGTACATTAGAATGGCAGTCAGCATAAAGGTGAAAACAGAAGAGAAATTAAAATAATGAAAAGAGGCTAAGCTAAGCACAATTTTTATGCCTGCTCTTTGCCAGATTTTCCATTCGATGAGCAATGCTGCCATCTGCTGTTTAACGGCTTCGAAATTAATTCCGAAGACTGCCGCAAAGCAGCTTCAGAGAATATTCAATTTTTACACAGCCTAATTAGTCAGTAATATATATGCCCATATATGCCCTAGACAAGGCGAAACAACAGAACTTTAACCGATTTTTGTGCTTCGTTTACTCGAACTCTGGCGCACCCCAACAACTTTTCTCACTCAATATGGCACGAAATGTTTGGTAATTATTTATTTATATTTTCTTTATTCAGTTAAACGGAAATCGTAACAATTAGACAAAACATAGCACATGGTGCGACATCTTCTGTAATTTTGTTTTTGTTATAAAAACTAGCACGCCCTCAATACCAAACAATGAAATGAGGAACAGAGAACCAACGAAAGAAAATCAATTGCGAATGCAAATGAGAAAAGTGTCGGCCACATCGCTCAGCTGGTAGATGTTGTGTTAATTGAACAGCAAAAGCTACTTACAAATATATAGATACAAATGTCGGCAAATGCAGATGCCCAGAACACATTTGAACTGATTGAAATCAAGAAAACTATCTCTATATCTCTCTATGAGAGTTTTACGATAAACGGCATGGGGAACTGAGACATTCTTTGATCGTACGACTAAGAATGTGATCAGACCGGGAAGAGTACTACATGTGGGCTAAAAAACTGCCTATTATGGAGAAATTCTAGAATTAGACGAGTGATTGATTTACAACTAGGCAAGCTAAATGTTAAGGTAAGTCCCGAAAGCAATTTGTAAAATGATCAAAATACTTTGTATCTCTGGTGAGCTTTATTTCGCCGATATCTGGTCTGAAATACCGGAAAATCCTTTTTTGTAATGAATTGGTGGCAATCAGGGAAAAGGAATGTTTGCCGAAGGGCCGAGTAACTCCGTAACCTATGTGTCAAAATTAGTAAATGGTCGATTAGTTTAATCGCGAGAACATTATTTCTAGGATCAAAAAGGCAGTGCTTATAGAAAGCTCCAGAAATATAATTTAAATTCTTGCTTCATTTTAAAAATGTGAGAAGAAAATGATAGAATTTCTCCACTAATTACTATTATTTAGCGTTTCTAAAAATTTACCCTTGGACACCTAAATAGTAAGCACTTAAACGATATAGACTTCCTAGTCAACAATATTTTATAGCTATAGCACTGAAAAGTTCACAAAATGTGTATATATATATGACATTCTGTAAATGTATCTCTTTTTAATAATTCAATATTTGAAAAATGTTTTGGAAGCAAACATTTCATGCAAACTCTACAAAAATTAATACAAACCACCTTCTATTTGACCGATTTGAAAGTGTTTTATTTAAGGCTATACTTTATCGATTAATTAATACTAATACTTAAATGGAAATAATTTAGTATTGTTTGTTTTTTATCTTCAAATAAAATATTTCAACCCCGTCTCCTAAATGTCTCCCATTTTAGCGTTACAAATAACGAATGCATCTCATTACTTGTTGCATTTTTATCATCAAGGACATTGGTGAGCTCCTTTCCTATTTCCAAGATTTTCTTACTACCCTGGAATTTTTAAACGTGTAACAACAACCATTGTGTATATATGGAAAACATCATGAGAACTGTTTGAGGAAAATACAATTAGTTATCGTCATTCGAATCAATAGAGGATGTGCGAACAGACCTCATCTGAACCAAGCTGTGGACGAACCAAGGCACAAGCCAATGGGAAAGGACTAAAAAGGCTATTAATTTTGAACAAATAACGCGGAATTGTAACCGGAAGGTGACAAACAGATATAGAAGACCTTATATGCTAAAAATGCATTTGAATAGAAACAATGGAAAATGTTTGCTGGGTAGTACTGATGGGAAAGGTGACAGAAATGCAGCGAGTGGACGATGAATGCTAAAAATAAAGCAAAAGTCCGAGCAACACTCAACAGTTATAGGCATTATAAGTTGTATTATTTGTTTGTTCGTTTTTCTTTCTATGATTTATACCACAACAACGGAGCAACAACATCTCTTTGACATCTGCATTACGTCATGGATAGCTTGTAGAATTGTGGTTTGGGTAAGTAAGGCAATGATTGATTGGGTCAAGTAATGGCATGGAGCACTCTAGAAAGATGTGCGCTGCTGTCTAGCTATCTAGCGGTCATGAGATTGCAAGGTGCCTGGAAATTTCACCTGTTATCAGCGGCATAAATGAATAGAGGCATACTAAATATATACCTATGAGTGCATGAATATATTCGTAGACTAGTGGCGACTTTATTAAGTGATATGAACACATAATGAAATCGCTCGTGCCGCTGCTTGCGTCAACGTTAGCGTCAGCGTCGACAGCGCCGACAGCTCTGCTCTGAGGATGACTTCATGTCTATGACAGCGGCTGATGATAGCGCTAATATATGATTGTTGTTGCTGTTGTTGTTAGGTTTTTATTTTGTCATTTAGCGCGAATGCATAAAAAAATGAGAAACAATAACAACAAAATGGCAAAAAGCTTGAATTTTGTGTTATTATTTAACAAATGAATAAATATTAGGCGCTTGAATTGCCGGAGCAGCTTTGCCAAATAAACTAAATAGTTGTTGATTAAATCAGCGGCAGGGTGAGGGTGTTTGTTAGTTTGTGTGTGTGTGTGTACGTGTGTGTGTGATTGAGTTGTGCATAAACAAAGCTTAATTTAAAACGAGGTCAACGATGAAGCGACCACTGCTGTAGCAGTCAGATGGTTGATAACTTTTTATCACAGCTGCTTTATCTTTATCTCTATCTGTATCTGATAGATACACAACGCACTGGGCTGAACCACATTAAACGCAATTAAAAGCTGCTCGAAACTTGTCACAGTTGCAGTTCATTGTACCGACCGCTTTTCTCACATCAACAACCAGCACAACAACAACGATAAGGATAACAATGGCAACGTCCTGTTGGCGGCTGCATGAGTGCCTGACTTAAACTTTAGCCGCTCAGACAGGCTTAATAGCCATGAATGAATAATTGCGGAAGGGCGCAGACTTAGCTACTAAGCAAATACAAAACGGCACAAACAACCCACAAATCCATCACAATGCTCGTATTTGCATAATTTACAAGCGAACCGGCTGACGTGAGCTGCATGTTCGGCAGGCATAAGCATCAATGTCGATTCTATTGCTGCTCCTGGCCCCAACACTGGCCGTGCCCCATTGGGTGCGCCACCGCTCTTTAGCTAATTGAGCAACTAACTGCTAAAGTTGTGTACGAAATGGGGCGTGTGTTGTGTTATTTACCCTGAACTCTGTCAAATGGTTTTCTGGTTAACATGGCGTATGCGTAATGTGAGAGACAAAGTCGACGCACTTACCTTTCTGCTCGGATCCAGCGCGTGTTGTTGTTGTTGTTGTTGATGGTGTTGTTGTTGTTGTCGCAAGTGGCGCTACCGTTGGCTTTGCTGGCTCTGCCTTTTGTAGTTGTTGCTGCTGCAGCTGGAGCTGCTGTTGTTGGTGGTTTTGTTGAGGCTGATCCTGTTGTAGTTGCTGTTGCAGTTTCTGCTCCTGCTGCTGTTGCGGCGGTGGGTGTGGGTGTTGTTGTTGTTGTAGTTGCTGGTGTGGGAGCGAGTCGTTTAACGTAGTCGCAGCTTCCAGCACAGAGCTTTTCTCCATGACATCCGCCATATTGAAAGTTGCTATGTATGTATGTGTGTGTGATTGCACTTAGAAAAGGACTTTTGTGCCTGTCGGTATTTTGTGTGTGTATGTATAATTTTATAACTTCTACTTTCTTTGAAAACCTCTTGCACTTTTTCACACAAATTTTTCACTTTATTTTGGAATGCCTGCGCGTTGTAATTATTCAATAGAATTTATTTGACATACAATTGGCAAAATCTGCTGAAAATACATACATAATATACTATATGTAAGAATGCATATAAACAATGCTTTCGATTTTGCTTTTCACACAATTTTTGCTCAATAAATTGCACTTTTTAGTTGTTGTTTCTTTTTTAAATCGTAATTTCCAAAAACTGCACAAGAAAATTTTTATTTCACTGGTAATGCAACTTGTCAGCCTCAGCGGAGCGCAGCACGGCACGGTGTATATTTTGCAGTATCTTCTTGCTCTGTTATCTCGCTTTCAACTGATTTTCAATACGTTGAATTTCTAATTAACGTACTCAGGCCGACGACGACAACGACGACAACGTTGTTGACGCCGGCGTCGGCGTCGTCGCCGGACCCGAAGCTGTAGCTTTTGCACAGCTTGCGAGCTTTTTAGTTTTTAGCACACGCGCAGGGGTAGCATGGTGAAGCTTTTGCTCAAAACTGGGTATGAGCGCCATCTGTTGGTGTTGAGGAGTAAATAAATCATTTAGATTTAACTAAATTCGTTCATACTGACATTTTTCATAAACTGATTGCACAATATCTATTGCACGTAATACTAAGAACGAGGAAGGAAACAAATGCTCGCTGAAATTTTCAATCTCATAAATATTTTATTTCTCTCAGCGTTCGTTTTTTATACAATATGTTGGCTCAAGGCTCAAGTACAGTTCTAATACATTTCTCCAATACTCTGTTACATGGCTGTGCTCCTTTTAGAGAACTGCAGTTTCCTTCTGTGGGATTCATTCCTAATGTTGCTATTGCTCTTCGAGTTGTGTTACTCGCCTTTTTCAAGTATTAGCCGATCCTGCACATCAATTGTATTGAAAATTGGTAAAATACTAAAACTAAAAAAATCAATTTTGTTTACCCCATTCATCGATCTCTCGCAGCTCGCTGTTGCATGAACTATGGATCCTCCACAGTTTTATGGTGGAATATTGTGGCTTACCGTGCTTACCAAATGCTTTGCTGGAGCTATGGAAAGTCAACTATGTAACGTATTTATTGGATAGTTGTTCGCGGTTGCTTAAGATTAAAAAATACTTATTTCTAATATGGTCATGAACTTCTTGAAGACCTTGGCAAATTATAAATGTTGGTATTGGGAATATTTTAGAGACTTTCCACATGGCTGAGAACGTAACATAAGTGGAGTTATCTTGAATTTATGTCAGCAAGGCCGATATTGTAATTGTAATTAATATCTGTTTAGCTGCACTTTCCATAGGCTCTTTTGCTTTAAGTCTCTTAAACATTTAAATTCGTCCAGTTTGTCCATCCACACCCAAGTTCGAATAAAATAGTGCACTTAATTATCAATTTGCATATACTGGTCATAGGTCTCTGAATTTTCAAACACTTGTCAGAACTTATCGCTCTTTCCGGACAAGCTATGTGCATTTGTATGGCAAATTCCAAGGCTTCTTTCTTATTTGCTCATGTCAAGTTATAAAAGCATTTTATTTTTAGTGCTAAGGTCTTTTAAACGCATTATAAATGAAGTGGCGATTTATGAACTAGGAAATAATTTTTTTAAAAATCATGTTGATAATGGATTACTAAATAGACAGTCTTTAACCCCCTGTAACCAGCCCCGTCCAGTAAAACGCGCCACATACTGTGCAGCACTGATATTTTTCATATTTTTATTAGATTTTCCCACTAATACCTTCAAAAACGAAGACAGGCTGCCCTACATATAAGTTTATGTACTTTGGAAATATTTAGCACTTAGCTTACATTTCATCAGTCAATTATAAGCTGCTCAAGTGCTTAGAATGAAAGTATTCGCTAAACGCAGGGACAATTCTGTAAGAAAGAAAATATAGGAAAGAAGACTCCTTCTACTTGCGCTTCGCAACAATTGCTTGAAGGCTTACAGCGTGAAATAACATGAAATTGTTAATAACATTTGCATATGTGGGTAAACTTTTGTGCTTTGGTTTTCAATCGAGGCAATGCGTTTGTTTATTTGCGTCTCTTACAAAATTAATAAAAATAACTAATTTATTTTCGTTCTATCATAAGAAAAATAAAAGGTCAACAATGAATTGCAAAAACTTGTTCGTTTCAGTTTTTTTTTCGTTATTTTATAATTTAAATTTTTTTATTTTTAAAAAATAATATTATCTTGAAGTTCAATTTTGCAGTTGTAGTAGCAGAAGTAAAATTTTAATTAAAATAAATAATATACGAGAGAGAGATAGAGAGAGTTAGCGATGAATTTAACATCTCTGGAGAATGGTTGTTGCTATAAATTTGTTGTTGTTGTTGTTGATGTTGTTGTTGTTTTTTGTTGTTGTTGGTAAATTATTTAAGCTGATCTGGCCTGTCACACATTCTAGCAAGGAATGCTGCAAAAACAAATGCACATGTTCAAATCAAAAGGTCAATGAAGGTCATCAGACAAAATAGAAAACAAAACATATACTTTTTTGTATATATACATACATACATATATGGTGTACATAGACATATTATACTTACTGTTTAGTCGAAGACCACTGGATCGCTCATCAACCGCTGGATGAACTCTGTACGCAGACACACACATGCATACAGAGACAGAGAGACGCGACAACGCGACAACGCGACACAGGACAATTAAGACGCAAGGATGTGCATTGATTTGTGGACGTGAGCAACAGATGGGATACATATGTGGAACATAAATTGTTTGCGATTCGGTGCGAATACAAGGAGTAGTTGGGTGGTTGTGCATTGTGGTGCATGTGGACAAAAAAGAACAAAAATATTGTGGTCGAACATTTAGAACAAATATGTACTTGACAGTGGGACTAGTCGATAGCCAAAGCGCTTAGAGCGACGCTACTTACGAGAGTAGGGGATCATGCCTTCATCATCCTCGGGGTCCATGCAGTCGGCGAACAGAGTCTCCACTTGTTCATCATCCAAGCTCTCACCTAGATAACGGGAACGGATTGTTAATTATAATTAACAATAATAACAATTAATTGTAGTTGGATGCTCACCAAGCGCCAGCAGGGCGTGTTGCAATTCAGCGAGCAGCATGGTGCCGTTCTCGGCTTTGTCGTACAGTTTCAAGCACTCAATGAAATCTTCATAGCAGCCTTGCTCCTTCTCCTTCTTGACTTGTGAGTAAATGGGCAGGAATTCGTCCAATTTGATTTTCTTCTCATTGCGCTTCTTGGTGCCGCCCATTTTCTCGATCAGCGCCAGAGTGGGGTTCAAGTTCAAAGCGCGCAGGGCATCGCCTAGATCGACGGCATCAATACCCTCACCGGGGGAACCCATGACTTCGAAAACGAATTCAACATCTGCGCACAAAATATTTGCATTTTTAGTCAAAAATCAAAATTTGAATGACAGTTACAAAGTTCGTCAAATCCCGAATTTAATTTTTTAATTACTCATCTCAACATTTTTGAAAGGGCTTAATCGGGTCATTTGGTAACCCTGAATATTTTTCAGTACGCACATTTTTGGTCATCTTGAAAATCATGACATGGTCGCATATACATATATTGCCACCTACACTTCAGTGCGTGTGTGTGTGTGTCGTGGCATTGCCAGCATTACAAAAACACACAGATCGTATAAGTAATACGACACCCGAACACGAACGCAAATGCCTTTGCCTATATTCTATGTAGCACATAGACACACTCAAACACACGCATATACACGTATGTATATGTGTGTGTATGTATATCTCGACATATAAATATATATGTATGCATGTTTTCCTATTTATCCGAACCTCGTACGGTGCGTTCCAACGAAAATAAATCCCAAGAAATAACACATGGTCCAAAATTAGATCATGCTCTTCGTTAGCTGCGTTCGGCAACATATTCGGCTGCCTTCGACTTGTGAGAAATGGCCAAAAGACATGCGTTAGAACTCTGCACAGATTTTACACAACATTGAGAAATATTCACAATTTTTCTACATTTTTCGGAATTTTAGTTTTCGTAGTTTTGGCTGAAGACAACAAATTTTTGTTACTGCCGTCAAAAATAGCACGCGGCATATATGTACATATGTACGTGTATGTACATACTATTGTGTATGTATTGAGGCATAATGAACATTTTCCGCACATCAAATACATAGCAGTGCATATATAGTATGTATGTGTGTCTGTATTTGTATTTGGCATGCATACGAGTATAGTATAGTGCGATGCGAATTCCAAGCGATTACGAAATGATTTCACTTTTTAACATATTGTTTTTTTTTAAACACCCACACGCACTGTTGGGTTAAATATACATATGTATGTCGTACATATCTGGTTATAGAACACACGCGCACATCTGCGTTATGTAATTCACTTGTCTTTACATAGCTCTAGATCATTTTTTCTGCGCCTTTGATTTTCGATTTTCCATTGCAGGTTGTCATTATTATTATTTTTTTGTTCACTTTTTTTTGTCGTTTTTAGCATTTGACGAACTTTGTTTGGGGTTAGAAGTAATCCTTTCAACAGGTGCATCTACATATGTGAGTATGAGTGTGTGTTTGTGTGTAATCCAACTTACTTTCAACTTCACGCTTTGGAACATCAGCCTGTGGTTGGGGAAGCAAAAAGAAATTTACATTTTAAACGTAGTCCAACTCTTTTCGCATTTTTACACAAAACTCCCATCCTATTTATATTTTTTTAATATTCTAGGAGCTTTTCCTTCTTCCCATGGGGAAGGGGGCACACTCACCATTTTGTCTGTTTGGATGCGAAAAGAACTGTATCGCGGATGAGCTCGGTCTCGACTGAACGTTATTCGTCGGCGGCAGCACGGCAAGGTAATTCTGAGGTGATAGCCAACATTAGTGGCCAGAATCGATCGGCGCATACACACGCACGCACACACACACACACACACACTCGCACAACATGACGAAATGCTCAGGCCTTATGGCTAAGGCTACAGCACACACTACACATACACACACACACATACATGCATATTCTGGTGCTAGGCAAGAATTTACTTTCATCTTGAATACAAATTCGTGCGCTCTTTGGCTCTCTCGCCAAAGCTTTTTGGGCTTCGAACGCTCCTTGAGCTCTCCCCACACACACTTGCCAGTCTATTTTTAAAACATTTCTTTCTCGTGAAGGCACAATAATAATCATTTGTGGCATTCCTAGCCGAATAGTGTTGAATATCATTTGATGTTGCAGATGATTTTGCAGATAATATTTTGAGTAACCAGCAAGCAAAGTTTATTGTTTTTCGCACTGCGCAATAGTTTTCGATCATTGGGAGGGACTCTGGGGCGAACACGCAATTATGTGTGTCTCGCATGTCTGCTATAGACACGGATCGTACGCGTATACGAGTATGTATTTATACACGATACGACCCTGATCAATTTTTTTTGGCAAGCGTTACGCATTTTATAGGTGCCTTTTGAAAGGCAGCAGAGAAAACCGAAACGAATAAGCCCTCCATGTTATCGTTCAATTTGGCGGCGGATACTACAAGCAGCAACAACACCTGAGAAATACATATACTTATAAATGTGTATATATGTTCGTTTCCCATGGGCGCGCATCCTTGTCTCTCTCTCACTCGCTCACTCACGCCCACCCGCTCGCACTCTCGCATTAATGGCAAATTACTGGCCGCTCAAATGTGTTTGTCGGCCGTCTCTACAATTTAATGCGTGCTATTTTTATAAACTATGACACAGATACACAAAAAAAATGATTCTGTTTAAAAATGTACAACAAACATTTAAGTGAGACATGCTGCTATAGTACATAATCGAATAGAGTGGACTTAAAAGGCATAAATTGTAATAAAGTGCTTATGGCCGGCACCCTGTCGGTGCCGGTGACCCACAACCAGAGTCCTTGACATCGAACTTCGATGAGGACGGGCCCACAAACAAGCCCATCTTTGACCCACTTTGCAGCTGCCACTTGTTAAAGCCGACGCTCTTACACATCTTCGGCTTGTTGTTCGTGTGCGCAGCCTCCGTGGCCAGGTTTTTGTTTACCAAATGCAACAACTTGTTGCAGTCTTCGTGGCCAATTGGACCGTAAAAAGTGGGCCAGAACGGCTCACAGCTGTGACCTCAAACAACTGTCGGCATTCCAAAACAGCTGAAGTATCTGGAACACATGGACCAATTCTGCGCAGTTGAGAATGCGTAGAAGCCCATTGATAAAGCAAAATGTTGAGGGCTAAAGGGCCACCAATACAGGTTAGATATACACACAATATTTGAGAGCCAATGTCGTTTCGACAAACAGATTTTTAATAGTCAAATAGAATGGACGATTCAATATAAAATTGGAGCTTATCAATTGGGCTTTAAATGGAAATCGTTGTTTTTAGAGTTCGTGTTATAACTATTTGCTTGGACGAACTGTTTTACAAGACGAGTATATACTGTACTATGAATACAAGTCCAAATAACATAGCTAATAGGGACTTTTTAATCGAATTCCATGAAATACTATTGAGGGTAATATATGCATAAAATTTATTAAAGTTATTTTTGCACATCAGGTGAGGATTGCCTCCATTTAGAGTTCCGCGTATTCAAAATTCGTGCAGTGTAAAAACCATATTTTTCATAACCTCTGATCTGCTGGCGTTAGGTAGTCTAACAAGGCTTCTCTTCAATTGGTTGCTCCTAAAATTAAGACCGGTCCAACGCTGCAGAATAGAGTCTTGCGAACTATTATTGGATGCGACTGGTACGTCCGGGGTTTCACGATCTGAATCTGGAAACCGTAGACGAACAAATCAACCGCCATACCAGTCGCTACAGGCAAGTGGCTGATTTGTTAGCTTAAGTTATTTTTACGCTATATATTATTTTTATGTATACTAGATTTGTTGGCTAGTTAGATATTTCTTTTAATTGTTAAATAGTTTTGTTATGGCCAATATTGCCGGCCGATTCCTTGCTTTAAATGAAAAATAAAAATAAATAAAATTTTGTTCAAAATTAAATTCATTATTCATCTACATCTACATCGCTGATGAAAGTTTTCTCTTCTTTATTTTTCCTATAATCAATATAATAGTTACTTGCCCTGTAAAAGTATAAACAAAATATAACAATTTCATTCATTATTTATTATAACAGAATTGTATTAAATCGTATACTACATTATTTTACAATTAATTAGTGAATTGCATTCATGCCGGTGGGTTCGCTGGTCATTGAGCTGCAGCCGACTGTGGCTACAAATTCGGATTAAACATCCTGTGAGAGGATTTGGGTGTCAAGCGAGCTTTATACAAGTATGATGTTTTGCAATAATTTCTCTGATTTTTGGATGAAATGATAAAACATGTTCAATTAATTTTCATAATCAATGGCATGATGTCAAAAATAAATGTAATCCAAAACAATTACCAATTCTGCCAAATCTTGAGTACTTTACGATAACGGCCAGATGCAGTAAATCCACAATTTTACGCTCTTTAATTGATCAACACTTAAGTATTGGCATTTACTGCCCAGCCCATAAAACCCAAGCACACACAATACCTTTAATGAATACACAACCCAAAGCGACAGGCAAACACACATAGACACAAACACTCACACACACACACACACACACATGACGTATACGCAATTTCAACCCTCCCTGAAGCGTCGCAATTTGTTATCATTGATAAGTGTGCTGAACAAACAGGGTGTTCCCCGAAAGCAAGCCCAGTCCCTATGGCTACATACAAGTATAGTAGCAGAGCACCCTATTTGACAGCACTTTTGTGCGTGGGTGTATGTATAAACGAGTATGTAGTATAGCAGTACATGGCGTTGGACTTCGTTGTGTGTACATGTGAAATATCCTTACGTATACGCAATGTAGTCTGCGTGCTGTGCTGCTGGTAACGGAATTGGCGACGACGCAGACGACGAGGACGCCGAGGACGACGAGGACGAGAACGGTTCGTCATTTAGCGATATTTGTCTCAGTTGCATCCGAACGCTTCAGCAGTAAACGTTATCGAAAGTGGCAACGCACAAATCTGGGTAAGGAACAAAGGAAGCAGAAAAAGTGTAAAGAAAACTAATTAAAATCAAACAAAAACGAGGTGCAATTATCGCTAAAGCTCGCATAAAAGCAATTCGAACATCAGAAAACAAAGAAATTACCTGAGTAACATTAGAAGGCCAAACCCTTTTGGCACACTGGGACAGTTGTTGGTTCGTGGGTGCGACGACAATTAAGCCAATTGTGGTCATAAAAAGCAGTTCCCGACTTAAAGACGTGTCAGAACCTGTTACTTTTCACCATTTTCATTTGAAAATATTAGCGAAAAGTCAAATTTCTTGCCAAATTGAATGCGTTATATAAGTCTGTGAAAATTTTTCACACTCCCAATTTGCATGTATACCGAAAACCCATTTATGTATCTATAACCCAGACGCAGCACCAGCTACAAAGATGCGGAGTCTGCGTTCTGCGCACCAAGCGCGCCGACAGCTGAGCGGAGGCGGCGATGCTTAAAGCTCAGCTGTCCTTTATTTTGTGATTGCCGATGGCACTGACCTAAACTCATTTTGGGGGCAAGACTCACAGGCTGCGCACAGATTTGCGCACGCAACCACTTGTTGATTAAGTCAGACATTCCTACACATACGAGTATATATATACTTGTATATTGTATATGGTGTACAGACATGCTAATTTCATGATACGCCATTTCTATGAATGACTCGAACAACTGTTGCACGCAAGCTAGCGAAACACATTCCTAATGTACACGATAGGCATATACGAGTACACACACACACACACACACACAAATAATTAATCATACGCACACACACACGTATTTAGTATCCATCGAGTTCTCACTAGTAATATTGACAGATTTGCAAACAAACTACTTAGTATAAGTAGCGTTTTATTCCGTAGATTCTGCAGCAATTAGCGATTAACGCATGCCCTATCGCCATACTAGAGTGAAGATTTTCCTTTGAACCTTAACGGTGGAGACAACCAGCTGCCCAATTGATTACACTTCTTTTTGCATCATAAATTTAATTTCCCACCTCCTCTCAATACAAATTTATCTCGCCCTCTTCAAAGCGTTTCCACTCAGCCACCTTTCAGAGGAAATCTCCCCTAACAGGGCTATAGGCAGGGAAATGACTGCCGAATATATCTTTTAAACTCTTCAAGAATTCATGCAATATTTGTTTTATTTTCCATTTATTTAAGTACACCTAATTCTTTTTTTCACGGTAGATTGGTTCCAGAAAAAGTCGTGTAAAAAACCGCGTAAAAAATTCATTAATCATATGTTATTCTAAATCGTGCTAAATTTTTAATTTTCAAACCGTGAAAAAAAACAGAATTTGGTGTAATTAATTTTTGGTTTCAACGTATTTACAATTTAATAATTTGTTTAATCTAATTACATTTCATATATTTTGCCCTTTATCGGTTAGGACTACATTGCTGGCCGGAACGCAACAAAAAAAAAAGACAGATAGAGAGATATGTTACAATCAAAATTTTTGTTTTCTTTTTTCTATGTTTAATATAAGCCTTAAATCCGTGCATACAGGTTTAGCACCTTAACAGTACATGTTTACAATTATAAGAATAGCCTAACCTCGAGCACTTCCTCGAGAGGGTTAATAATCAAGTGGTGGCTTATGGTTATCTAATTGTTTTGGAAAATCCTAATCATTTTAGGCTTCGCAAAAGTCAGGCAGGAAGCAGTCCTCTTGCAAGCAAACTGCGGTGCCTGTCAAGTAGATATAGTAACGGGCTACTGAGCAAGCATTTATTTAACAAACTCAACTTTGCAGGCCGATTCCCTGTTTCAACAGTAAAACATAAATAAATAAATTTGCTAGTTCTTTAAATCCAGACGTGAATATCCGAAATACGGTAGTACTCCTTAATTAGGGACCTCATGTAAACACAAGATAAATATAATTGATTTGATTTGAATACTTCCGTTCTTTTCAAGTGTACAAAGGTCGGCTTCATCTTGTAGCTTCGACCACCGCCACCAGCATGGTGACCAACAATGCCACAAACAATAACAATTTGCAAAATAACAACAACAGCAACACAGCGAATAACAACAACGACGACTTTGACATTGACCAGGATGATGGCTTACAGGACTTGGGCTTGCCCGTGTCCGTGCAGACGTTCCTGTGGCGCCAAATCGCCCCGTTCATAAGACCCAAGCTGGGCAAACTGCATGAGGCGAGCTGCATGGTAAGTGGAACCGAATCGGTTGTTTGCCAACAAGTCGAACATAAATCACAAAATGCCGTGACATTATGGAGCGTGGGTAGACGAAATGTGCCTGCATCTACTTAAAACGAGCATATCCTGAGCATTGTAAATAATCGCAGGGCACGGAAACGTCGAGGGCCCTAACAACTCCAAGGATATCAAATATAACTTGTGCTGTAAATAAACGCTATGCGTGTTTGTTGTAAGGATGTGGAATTTCCATATTTAAATTGGCACAGCGACCATTTAAATGCATTTATTACTAAATGTCTTCTTCTGTCTTATTATTTAACTTTGACAAAATTCACGAAAATTTAAACGTGAAAAAAGAAAGATGAATCTTTAACTTTGGTGTTCAATGTTCTCTAAACGTTTTCCATTCCTTTTGCATTTTACTTTCTATTTTTTTGAATTACTCTTACACTAACCGAACACGCTCCACCACAAAAACAATGCATTTGTACTCGTACTCGTATGTGTCCAAAAATGCTAAATGCTTTTAACAATCGTCAAAAAAAAAACACACGCAAACAACAACAACAAAACCACAACAATAACTGTACAAATTCAAATTGTAAAATCTTTCGCAATTTGTCAATCTCAATGTAGTTTTGTCAACATGCACCGGGACACCATGTAAGTTATAAATGTTTATGTACCGTCAGTTCAAATAAGTAGTTATGTACATACTATAATAATCGAATGATACATCTTCACGCTTTTATTTCCCATTTATTTTAAGTTTCTTTGCGTTTTTTCATTTACTTTTTTTAATCTTAAAATTAAAGCTTCTTTCTGTAAATGCCATGCCTATGCCTAAGTTTTAATTATCGATGTAGCTGTTAGCTGTTTAACATTAATTTTGCGGTAACAGTATTTAAAAAATTAGAGAAACATTTCTTAAACCTACGAGTATCAGATTTTCTAAACGAATAGTAAATTTTCTCCCCAATAATTATACAGGAGTCGAAAGAGGCTTGCAAGGTCAGTAATGCGATACTAGTTATGATGCGTTTCATTTGATTTTTTACCAACTATTTGTACACACATTACAATCCCGTGCTTGCAGTCCTTCGAGAAGGTGCTCGTGCAAAACATACAATTCGGCCTGTCGCCGCCGCTAACTAAAGCGCTGGGCGCAATACCGCGCTGGCGTCTGCTTCAGGGCGCGTTGCCTCATGTCATGCACGCGTGCGCCGCTCTGCTGCACAATCGAGTCAAGGATATGCAGGCTATAGGTCCGGTGGAAACCAAATTGCTCTATACCATGCAATGGATCCTCCTTTATGCAGCCGAAGAATGTGCCGATGACGAAGGTGGTGTGGACTTGGGTCTGGCCGAGGCAGCTGAACAGAAAGCCAAGTCCATGGATCAGTACTTGTTCTCGATCCCCACCATTACAGTAAGCATGGGTCTCGATTATTCTTGAGTCATTTTCTCAGTGGAGATTCGCTTGCAGTTGTTTGTTTATCTCTTTGCTCCCATTATACACCATTTGAAAGAGTCCGATTTTCAAAATTTCCGCTTGGAAAATGGTATTAAGCTTTGGCAGGGCATGTGGGACAATCGTGCCCCTGGCGCTCCCTGCTTCACTGCCCCCGTCAAGCCCAAAGCACGCAATTTGCTCTGCGCACCCACACCCAAGGGCTCTACAGATGTTTTTCCCGCACGCAAGCAATCTCTGAATGCCGATATAATGTCCCCCAAAGCGGACTCACCACAAAGTATTGTCTCCGACTATACCAAACAGGATGAGGAGGTATTGTATTATTTTGTTACTGTTTCCATCTCCCCTTTTAAACTTGCCTTTTAAGGGCTCTTGGGTATCTTCGCCGAAGGAATTCGCCTTTCCCGAAACCATACCAGAGGAGGTGTCCAGCGTGGAAGACGAGCGTGTTGTCATCTTTCGGCTTCCCTCGGTACCACACCTTATGGATAATTCCTTTTTTACGGTATGAGCCCCTAAGGTAGCACCTCCCTTGAGCTTCCATTCTAGATACTCTTGCTTTTCTCAGGCTGATGCCAGTTTATTGCAGCAACAACAGTCGCAGAGTCGTCGTGGCAGTCGCCAGTCCGTGCACTCAGGCACCAAGGAGAAGGTGCCCTCCACCAAATTCGAGTTCGATCAACAGGAATTGATGCGAGGTGCTTCGATGAAAGAAAGGCGTAGCGCATCAATGGAGAAAGAGTCGGAATCGGAGAAGTCAGAAAGTGTAAAGGCAGATGTTTCAGCGGCCACGTTTCTGGATGTGGCCGTCCTACGATGTCTGTTCATTTCACACTGGCAGGAAGAGGGCATTTTCTGGAGTCTGCAGTACATATATAATCGGTGACACTACTTCAATGATATTCAAATTCTATATAATTTGTCTAATATGCTAATATTCTTCAAAAATATAGTCTCAGCGAAATTGGCGAAGATGCGGCTATTACTCTAAATCAGCCGCGCAAGCGTTCGAACTCTCTGCCTATACCACAAATAGAGATTTCACTTTACCAGGGTCCGGGCAGCAATAGTCGCGATAGCCCCGGAAGCTCTGTCGTAAAGGACTATATTGAAATACCAGAACCTACAGTGACGACTTGCGCAGTTGGTAAGTTGAAAAGCTACAAAAAAAAGGGCATTTTTTAAAAATTGTTCCCCTTACAGAGGAAACTATCAGTCCTAGTTCAGAGCGTCGCGGCAGCGAAAAAAAGAAGCGCGTCAAAATGGCTGACCTACGCGCTTTTGTCGAGACGAAAATGTTTTCAAAGTCGGAGAAGAATTTGGAAAAAGTAGGGCTTGAAACAAACTCTGCCAATGGCAAGCCAGCACTGCAACATGCAGTAAGCCAAAAGCTAACTCTAACTTTAAAAACCCAAAAACATGTTAGCACGCGTTCCTTGTTATGTGTTTTGATATGTTCCATATTTAGCTTCATGTTCCACATACTGTTCATCGTTTATACAGCTTGTTTGGCGTTTTTCAAAGTTAATTGTTATCTTGAACTGTATCTATCTAGCGACTCAGTACTAAACACTATTTGACCTTTTTCCAAAGGAATATCATCGCAGCCTCGACACAGGAGAGAAAAAGCTTTCCCGTTCCGCCTCTATGATAACTCGTGAGCCAGCCAGCAATCTCATTAAGGGCAAGTCCATGCCGAGTCTAAGGTAATTTAATACCCCTGTTAACCCCTTTAAGAATTATACAAAAATGCAAATTTGAATTTGGCCCACTTGGACACCAAAAACGCAACAAACATACCAAGACACATTAGCAGATCGCTATATCCTATACTACTATACTACACCAATTCAATTTCCATATAACTTTCTCTAAGACTCTCTAATATTATAAATACACTGTATGTATTACCTACTCTCTCTTATATACTAAATAACCAGCTGTCTGCTCGATAGCGGGTGAGTTTCGATCTACAGCTGCCTTGTCTTTTAGCTTTTGTACTACCAGCACAAACTCTACACACTCTTTATCTCTCTTACAACCTATTAAGATCCTATCAGACAAATGATTATATGCCAACAACACACTGATATGGAGACAATGACACTGAAGACTTGTTCCCCGTTTATAATATAATATTTTACGCAAGATCGTTCAGAATTTTAGACCCTCCCTTTTGGTTATATTAAATTATTATACGTATAGTATGTATATATTGAACATTCAATCGCTTTCATTGCAATATATAAAAATTTAATCATATCTATAAATCGAAAGCTTGAACTATTGCACCCAATCTCACTCTTCCCTCCAATTTTGCTTGCTCCCTTTGCATTCTCGTTGCTTGTATTCCACATTCCCCCGCAAACCTTTAAAAGATGCTACTTATTCAGCCCGTGGGTTAACCATGGGTTACATTTGTAAGCCTTTGTTCCTTCACCGTCACACGCTGTTTTTTACTAATGCCACACATGTTGTTTGCACATTTGGTTCAACATGTAAGATTTTACAGATACGTGGAGCCGCCAAAGGCAGTGCGTCCAACACCGATAGTATGTCCACGCTCCACAGCATTTTATCCGCGCAACCCCATCATAACAGTGACGGAGCACACACCCACGCCCTCGCCGGATTACATGAAGAGACAGGTTATGCCCCTTATATGATATCAAGATGATCACAACTGATGCATTCCATTCTCTTCTACAGGGCTCCATTGACTCGCAGCTAGACGCACTGAGCAATGGCGGCAGCATAGCTGGTCTTGGAGGCGGCGGTGGTAATGGCAGTGCCGGAGGAAGCACCACCACACGCTATCGGGGACAAATGCTCCGCTCTCACACGGACTCCCACATCGATTACACAGGCGTGGATGAGTCTGAGGCGCCAGGCTCGTCTTTTTACATAACACGTGATGGCGGAATCGATTATGAAATTGTTCTGCTGGCTATAAGCAACGTATTTAAGCGAGATCCCTCTCAAGTGTGCTCGCTGCGTGTCCTGGAGGCTGGGCTAAACATTTGCGAGCTGCTTATCGAAATGGGAGTTTTGAAACTAGGCGAGCATGCGCATGAGATTTCCATGGGCATAACGCGTAGAGCGCTGCAAGTTCTGGGCTGTCCACATGGATGTAATGATGGTGAGGATTCCCAATCGCTGGATAAGTCCATGAATCCAAATAAGTTTTGATCATTTTCGACAGGTGTGCGTGGTCCGCCCGCCGACTTTTTGCGCAATCAATGCCAGAAGATTCTATCGCGGATGCTACGCCAGGCCAACCAGCGTACCAAGCGTTATCTACAGGAGATGGTGAAGACTTCCCCGCTCCTAGAACTCGTCGACTACTTTCATGCATTTCTTGCATTCTGTGTCGATCCCAGTTCATTGCTTTCGCCCCTAAGTGAGTTGCCGTCGATAGCACGTAGTACAATGTTTGCAGTTGTCTCTTAGCCGAGGCCAATTATAGGTGTCCAACTTTAGGTGCACAAATCCCAATTAATAATGCATTTTGAGTTTTGTTTTAGTTTACCTTTCGATTGGCCCTCTTTTGTTGCAGCATGGCAGAGGCATCTGCTTCGGGGTACCATTGGTGCCCCATTTTCTGCATTTAGTTGGACCTGCATTTCAATGTATTTGTAATATGTATTAATGCATGCGATGATTTTTTGGCTAATGATTTTGAGTTGTCTGGTCTTGTGTTGCTCCTCCTTACTCTACCTGTCACCACCAAATACGTTGTATATATGTATGTATATAATGATGCAATAGCTCATAAACGTCAGAGTGGATATAAAAATGTTAACACCGATCTTGGCGGTGTACCAGGTCAGGGCGGCTATTCGACAAATTTTAGTGGCGGCATGAGCGGCGGTGCCGAGGCTCAAGTTGTTGGTGCCGTGTTCAAGCAGCTGGTCAGTCGTTTTGTGGATGCCTCCAAAGATCTGAAGTCGCCAGAGAATATAGCACTGTATGGCGATATACGCCAGTTGGTCACATATGTGAAAGGAGCCCATGGCGGACCATTTCGTCTGGTGGCATTGAGTGGCATATTGGCAGTTACGCCCCGCCCGCACAAGAAAGGACCGGCAGCCCAGACCACAAGGGTTATAAGGTAAGTAGTATATGAAGATATATGTACGAGTATTTTACAAAATATTCTCTCCCTATTCAGACACATTCCCCAGGCCAATGTAGTGCAGAATATTCAGAACGAAGACAATCGCTCGCAGCGGCGCCTTTTACTCAAGAAACGCAGCACCTCTTCTGCCTGCGCCGTAGTGAGTCCAGAGCCTAAGTCTATGAGCCGCTACTTATTTTAGTTATTTTGCAGAGTCTACTGGAGACCGAACCATGCGATGATCACTATAAGACCAGCCAATCACCGCTCAGTAATTTTCGTCGTCGAACCACTGGTGTGCGACCAACGTTGACACCACGTCATAGCGAGCGCGCCCTTCTCTCCGATTCTACGTCCAGCTCGGAGCGCAATTCGTTGGGACGGCTCAGCGGCTTGGTGCGCTGGTTTCGCGGGGCGCCCAAAGAGGCGTCATCCATTGACCTAGAGATAGGCTCACTGAACCCTGAGATATCATCCACTTTTATGCGGCATGCTTCGCTAAAAGTGCAGCGGGGTCGTTCCAGCGATGGCATTGGACGCTCCATTCAGCGCGCCAAGCGACGTGTAGAGCGACGACTGAACCGTTTCGGCGGCATTGTGAAGGGCAAGAAGAAGGTGGGCGGTATCGAAGAGACGGCTGATTACAGCCGGCGCAGCTCATCGGACATGTGCGATGGGCCGCGGGAATCGGAGGTGGTTATCCTAAAGGAACGTAAGCTCATACCCATCGAACCAGTGCGAGTGGGAATGCTTCGTTTGTCTTTTCTTCTGGAAACCTGTGCACCAGGCTCTTTTCCCGATCCTCAGCTTATTGCGGCAGTGCTAGATCTGGTAATTACGGTCTAGCCCATATCAACAATTCTTCTAGTAATATTTAACTCCATAGCCACAAGCCCCGCTGGTCACCCGAGCTACATATCTGCTAGAATGCGCTCACTTTGTGCACTTGTGCAACAAGGGCCAATGGCCTGCATGGATGAAGCAGAATGTGGGAGGGTATCGTGCGTCAGGCGCCAACATTAATCCCAATCAAATTAAACAGCACGCTAGCCAAACCAGCGCCAGGCGAACCCATATTTTGCAACGAGCCGCCGGCAAAATGTTTCATCAGTGGGCAGAGATGGTGGGCGCTCGTCTGGAGGAAATACTCTTCACCGAACGTCTGCAATATGAAGCTATCAATGCCAGTCTCACTGATCCCGAAAAACAGCGTGAACTTCTGCAGCAGGATGAAGAAGAGGATTTCCTGGATGAGTCATCTGTCAATCCACATGGCAACGACTGTCCACATGCCCTGAAACTTATTGCCTGTGTTTTGCTGTTTGAGATCACAGCGTTTTTGAGAGACACCTATATATTGCTGCCAAAAACTTCAAAACTTCTGCACAAGGAGAAGCCAGCACCCTGGGAGAAAGTCTATCGCGAAGCAAATCGGCGATGGTCCATGGCATTGAGCTCAATGGGACATTCACAGACCTCTGCGCAGAGCTTGCAGTCGATTGCGGCAGGCAATGATGGCGCTGGGGGGCAGACAGAGAGGAAGATTTCATTTGTACTCCATGAGCCGGACAACGAATCGGAGAACAGCAGCAACACTACTTTAACCAAGGAAGGCGAAGAGGGTAACATTTTGATATTGCTAACTTAGACCAACCAGAACTTATCTAATTAATTGTTACTATATATCTGATCAATATGAAGCCCGTAGACCTACAGCATCTGCAGTGCGCCCATTTCTGTTGCGACGCGGCACAGCTACAACAACTGGAGGGTCATTCAAACGACGCTCGCTCAAGCTGCGCCGCAACACAAAGGATGGAAAGGATATTGAAACAGATTGTATGTACACCTATTACTCCACCTAGTTGCAGTAACACTATTCTAAAATGTGCTTGTTTTCTTACTACAGTTACACGAGTTGATTCCATACAGTCCCGTCGCAAAGTTTCCTCCCTCTCAGACCGCAGTGATACATCGGAGCAGGGCATGGTCAGTGGGGGTGAAGAGTCCCCTGGTATACTCAGCGATGACCAACAACCCGAGTCCCCAACAGACTCGAATGAAACAGATGATACGGCCAAAAATATGCCCTGGTTAAAGGCCGTTATCGACTTAATCTCTAGCTACAACTACTATTGTCCCCATAAGGGCTATTGCCATCCATTTTGCTACAAGCGTCACATGAGAGCCTGCACGCGTCTTATAAAGGCGACCCGTAAGGTGAGTTTTGTTCTTACCTTCACTATAAGGAAATATATTTATTGCTGTGGCAGGTCTATGGAGAGGAATTTGGATTCACATTTGATGCCGATCATCCTACCGTTGAACCAACAGCTGTTAGTTCCGCCAAGTCGCACTCATCTCGACCACGTTCTACGCGTAAAGTTTCAGAACAAAGCTCGACGCAAACATCTCCGTCCAAGCGCAAGGATAGCTTGTCGCGCAAAGACCGGTAAGAAAATGGCAACAATTTAATCGTAAAGTTTTCAAATTGATAATTTCCTATAGCATAAGCGATGACCCTGACATCGAAATGGCTGAGAAATTAGCCAAAGCTTTTCGCCAGGAAAAGGAGAAGAAACTACTGGAGGAAACGCCTATTTTGAAATTTTTGCGTTTCCACATACGCAGTCTATTTCACTTTCCGTTGGCCACCATGTTAAAGGGAGCTGTTGTGCTTACCGAGGAAATGGTCATCGAGGCAATGCCAGCAGCATGGGAATTGTTATTGGAAACGAATCACGACACGGCTACATCAAGCGCAGCAGTGTTCCTAATGGGTTCGGTGAAAGCACAAAATTTCGCATTTGACATTATGCAACGCGCCCTGAAGCACAAGGACCCTGACATACGTATAGGGGCCATCCAACGTTACTTGGTGCTGTGGAAATGCCGGTTTCATGTCTGGCCACGTATGGAGGAGAATGCGCATGATGTGACCTTTAAAGTGCCCCCGGGAGGAATTGAATTTACGTTGCCGTCACCCAAAATCGGCATTGAGAGTCTGCCCGTTGTCGACCCCCCGTGGATGCCGGTGCAGCAAACGAAAGACATGGATGTTACTCTCAATCAGGACAGACATGTAAGTTGTGCAATGAAGTACGTGGGTCTTGAGCATAATTATATCACTTGCTTATCAGCGTTCCCTCGTAACTGCCACGAAGAGCCGGAAGATGCAGCAAACCGAGGCAATTCGCAATGCATTGCGTCAGCAGCGTGACAAGCAACGGGCCGAACGCCATAGCTTCCTTATTACCATGATACCGATTAGTCAACAAGCATCCCATGAACCGGGTATGGAGCATGAGGATCACGAAATCGAAGAAGATATTGATGGTACGCGCATGTCTTCGCATTTGCATCACGCACACTCCCTCTTCCCATCGGTTTTATGCTCCTCCGTAATGCAAATTGTCGGATGTCTGGACGATGCAGCCATTGGATCGGATGGAAATGCCGTCTATGAGGTTGCCTATCAGGTAATCTGGGTATGTTTAGTGGAGGAGTCCGCATTGTTTTTGCGCTATGTATTTGAGCGTTTGACGCGAGATCGCCAGGATCAAATGTTCAAGTTACTCCGCCATTTAATACGTTTTGTACCACGACTGCCGCAACAGGCAGCCTTTGCTCTCTACAACTCCATTATCGGCTACATTATGTTTTACGTGCGCTCCTCGAACGAACTGAAGCAAGAGGTAAGTTTTCACGCGCCCATCAATTGTGGATTAGTAGTAATCGGTATTTAACATTTAGCTCGTCGGCTCTGCTCTGTCGGTCCTCTGGATGGTTGTGCACTCTGTCCATGGCATTATGTTCAAAGACTTGAAGCAAATACTTCGAAAGGAACAGTGCGATGCTTCCATCCTGCTTACCGCCAATGTGCCCGCTGCAAAAAAGATTGTTGTTCATGGTCCAGCGGACGATGATTATAACATACCTTCCCAATTTCCTGTACAAGAGGACACCCTGTTCTGCCAGCTGCTGAAGGAAGCGCTGGATTATTATCCCATTGACGAGAAAAATATCTCCCACTACTGTCTGGTTGACTATAAGAGCAGTAAGATTCCTCAATTTAATATGTGTCATTAATTAAAACTATATCTCATCTCTGTTAGGCAAAATACTCAATCCCAACTGGTATATACGCGATTTGTATTTCTTTAAGCGTTCACAATATCCCGAAGTGCGATTAATGCTCATGCGTCCCGACGAATCCTTTTTGGCTCTGCAAAAGCAAGAGCTGACCAAAAAGTTTGTAGAAATCGGTAAAGTGCACTTGACATGGGCAATCTTGAAGAATGTTGATATGGTCGTTCAGCGGGTAGTGTTTCTGCATGAGGAGCTCATGAAGCTTCCATCCTTTCCACGGAAAGCACTTGAAGTGGATCTAGATTTGCACCACGGTGGAGAATATGGCAAGGTTCTACTTGGCCTGGACGTCCTACATAAGTTCATGTGGGTTCGCCTCATTGCCCGTATGTTCGAGGCTATGGCCGGAAATTTTGCCTACTCGGCAGATATCCAGCTTTTTTTGAATGTGCTCTCTGGCGCATCCATACTTCACGCCGAAGATTCGTGTATTATGCGTTATGTGATGGCTACGTTTATCAATGCCGCCTTCAACTTTAAGAATATTTTCTCCACAAAGGGGTATTTTATGATTATGCCCACCTTGCTTCAAGTCTATTCACTGCATCAGACGAATAAATTAATCACCACGACTATTGAGTATGCGGTAAAGCAGTTTTATTTGCTAAACCGTAAGCCTTTCATACTGCAAATGTTTGGATCGGTGTCAGCCATTTTGGATACAGATGAAGACGGCACCTATGGTGAAGCCCACAAGGTGCAATCTAGCTGTCTGTTCAATCTACTGCTTAGTCTAGAGGATCCCTCGCCAGATCCATTAAACATTGCCGAGCTGGTGAAGGAACCCAAGCCCTTGAAAGCAATTGACTTTTGCTACCACGATGAAGACGATGACGTCACTGTGCTGGATTGCATAACACTGTGCGTCATGGTCGTATCCTATTCGGCGGAAAGCACACGCGGATATCAAATGCTGGTAAGTAGATGCGATACACATATCTCTCTTATCTTCATGCCCCTTGCCGTTTCAGATCATCCTGGAGGCTATTCTGCCTTGCTACTTACAGCAGATTCAATCGCCTAGTTATATACCATTACAGGGCAAATCAGAACGAGATATTATACTACAGTTAGCAGTGGCCATACGTACAATGGTTCACAACTGCGAGGGTTTAGCAAAAAGCTACAACGGACCTTATCGAAACAGTCCCGAGCACAAGGGTTCCTCACAGCGCAACTGCAGCCGTGGCCCGCCTTGCTCCCCCGGGCTAGACTTTGAAGAAGAATCGCACACGAAATACGTCACCGACCCACGCACGAAGAATATGATGGACTCTGGCGAAGATTCTGAAATGATACGCACCGAGTATAGGCGGCCGCGTGATGTACTCCTCTCCGTGGTTGGTGATTTTCTGACCAAGTCAACCACTCGCCTGGTCGAGTTGTCCAAGAAGCTGCCCAGCGATACCAAACCCACCGAAGTATTAGATGCCAAGTGTCACATTCGACTGGCGGACATCGCCCACTCACTTCTAAAGGTGTCTCCGTATGATCCCGAATCTATGGCCTGTCGTGGACTACAACGCTATATGCAGTCTGTACTGCCACGTGCCGATTGGTCTAATGATACACTGCGCAATGCTTTGGTCACCATACTTCGTCGCATTGACAAGGTATTCCTTAAAATATCAAAGAAGCCCTCCATACGCCGCAACACAGATTGGGAAGCGGCAGCTGGATTACTTAAAGGCATACATGAGACCATCATTCGTCATCCGTACGTACTGCACTGGCAGCAAATGAAGACTTTAATTAGCACAGTGCAAAATCTGATTGTCAACGAACCGGGGTCCGGAATACCCGAAGGCGTTTCCAGCGCAGGGGCAGCACTCATGTCTCAGAATCCACCGGCCTTTTTCTGTTCAGCTGTGGTGCGTCTCGTGGCACTGCAAGTGGTCAGTCCCGTGGATTGCTTTTCGTTGGTTCAAATATGCGGCGGTAGCGCCGAATTTGCAACGCAGGAAAAGGCCGAGGGTTTTCTAATGCATCTGATCATGCCACTATGCTTGAAAGTCTGCTCGGGTCGCGGCGTCTCCGATGTGGGTGAACTGAAGATGACGGATGTGACATTTCTGCTAACAGCTGTGCTAAATGCTATGAGTCCACCAGCAGGTCGGACGGGCCAAGCAGTGTCGCAAATAAATCGTGTGACTGGAGACTTGCGGGCAGGATCTCTGACCTTTACGGGCAGTCGGGATGCTAAGCGTCCAGCTAGAATTTCGGGCTCACTATATCAAGCTGCGTTCTTGGCGCTACGTATTGTGTGCATTTGCTTTGAGAATCGTCTGTCTACCGAATGGCCGCGAATTGTAAGAGTAATGCGTGATCTGGGAAGGCGAAATGAGGCTGCTCCAGATCTCTGGAGTTTCATGGAGTTTGTTGTCACGCATCGCACACCTTTGTACATTGTACTGTTGCCCTTCATTTTGCACAAGGTAAGTGATAGAAAAGGGACTCCATTAACATGCAAATACACATACATATGTATGTATGTATATCCCCACAGATATCCCAGCCACCAATTGGTGATCATGAGCGGCACATGCAATTCATAATACGCGAGCGTCTGCGCGGCACACCGCCCCAGGGTGGAATAAAATCCAAAGGCGCTTTGCTACTGGAGCTGGCTCGCGAATTGCGGGATCTGCGCGACGAACTGGAGGAGAAGCGTTATGGTAATTATACGATTCTCTTACGGATCACTTACCATTTACCGCTTCTCATATAAAAGTTTCCACAGATCGGGAGAGCTCGGATCAAAAGAAGAGCGATACTCCAGCCGCCACAAGCGCCACGGATGCACACAAATCACAACAGCGACCGTCGCTGATTTCTATTTTCACTGGCACAACCACCGGTCAGGCCACACATTCTCATGTTTCGGCGGTGCCCATCGATTCACGCAGTGGCTCTGGGGGTATATGCACACCCAGCGACACATTGTCTCAGCAAACGCTACATCCGCCGAGGGAATCGGTATCTAGTAGCTCTACAGGACGCGATCCACACACAACAACCAGCGAAAGTCACAGTGGCGAAGCAGCCATTGGTTCGGCACCTACGTTAGTGGGCCAAGCGCCGTGCTGTGGGCCAACAACGTCTAGTCATGGAGCTAGCTCTGGTACCATAGCTTCAGCATTGCCTCCAGGCGTTGTGTCGCAACTCTCACATTCGCAGTCGCTGCAACAGGCGCCATTCAAGGCACAGCCGCCAAAGTTGCGTTTTGTATCATCCGTGGAATTCCGGCACTCTTCCGGCGAAACTTCAACTACCCCTCTATCACCTGAAAGTCCAGCAGAAGACAGTTCTGGTGATCATACGCGTTCGAGACTACAGCGCTCCAAGGCTGCTAGCCGCAAGACCTTTAGATTAAAGCGTAGCCGACTAACGCCTATAGAGCCGCCAAGTATCGTAAGTCGAAGCTACTAAAGAAAAATGTTATGCGACTCTACTAATCCGTTGATTCTTAGGTAACTTCGCTGTCTCAAGAGGAAAACCAGACAAAGGCCATTGGTGAAATATCTTGGGACTCGGTCTCGCAAACTTCCTCTACTTCAGGGTATCGCGACAACAATAGTTTGCAAGCAGGTCTTCTTTCGCCGGATGGCTCATTAGGTGGACTTACGCTGGGTCGCTCTCCATCACAGCACTCATTACTAATGGTCTTCGAAGGTCAGGATGAGGACACGCTTATTTAACAATCACAGAACGGCAACTGAAGCTACGAGCTTTAGGGCGAAGGCGGAGTAATCAATTCTAGCTAGCAAGCATGCGAGTGTCTTTTTATATTAAGTTGATAGTTGAAGATAAGTTTTTTGGACAACAAGTTAGCGTTATGTGCCCGATTTTATATTAACTCGTAGTATTATATGGTATTGTAATTAGGAATATTAAAAATAAAGCTTCGGTAGCCGTTCGAATCGTCGACGTATTTACTGGCAGCCTAGGAAATAGACGCAGATGTGGGATTTGTGGCTGAAATAGCTGCAGTCTTCATCTTGAGACGATTCTCTTTGACCATTTTGCGCCACTCTAGCCATTTGGCCAACTCCGGCTGTTCGCTATTTCCGCGCTGTTCTAGCTGCATGTAGTAGGCTTCGCGAAGTATCTTAAAGGCCTGAATACTATAGTATGGCTGTTGAGTGACTGGATCGAAATAGCGCGCGGGCAGGCGAGTGATGGGGCAAATGCCATTACTGCTTTTGGGTATTTGTTTTGGTCGGAATAACTTATTGAACATCTTGTCATTGAAGTCATTCTCAATGGTAATGAATGTGCGTTCACACTTGGAGGCGGGGTTATTGGGATCATGCGGCAACGTCGTACCGCGAGTAGGTTTCCGCATTACGGGCATTGTCAGCGAATGGTAACGTATTGTCGGGCCATTGAATGACCGTTTGGTTGGGCGCGTTTTCTTTTTCTCTAGTTCCATTTTCTGGAATTTTTCTATAAACGAAGATATTATAAAACTTAATATTTGAAGGATATCTATTACTATACACATACCGAGCGATTTGATATTCTCCTCCTCTGTTATTTTGGCCTCTTCGAGCAGCTCCTCTTGCGTGGGAATATAATCTTCCACACGCTTTACTTTTTTCTTACGCCTGCGAGCATCATCCAACTCTTTAAGACGTATTTTAGTAGCTTGTGTTTTGATGGCAGTCGATGTACGTATGGACTTTCGACCCGAGTCGAGCACTGTGAAACGAGGACGCACCTTGCGCTTAACTACACCCCCTCCGCCCCGCTTTTTGTGCAAAGCAGGCACGGCTTTTGTTTCTTTTTTGGCAGCCGGCTTTGTTTCCTGCGGGGTAGTGACATTTGAAATAATTAGTGTTTAGAAATGTGTTGTACATATTAAATAAAAAACCCACCTTGTATGCTTTGGTGTTGACACCACCGCGCTTGCGTTTTTTATCGGACACTTCTTCCTGATCTGATATGAGCTCATCGTTTTCATCTATACTAAAGTCTGAGTCCACAATGTCTTCCTCTTCGTCCTTTTGTCTGCGGAGAGCATATTATTTATTTATTCTAAAAAACATAAATGGCGCTACATACTCATATTCATTGTCTTCCTCTTCTTCATGGAAGCCGCCGTACGAGGTTTTGTAAAACTCGTCCTCCTCCTCTTCATCCAACAGTTTAGCTATTTTAGTGCCGGCATTGTTGCGTCTGGAGCGAGAGGCTGCCATGTTTTACAAATTTATTAATGGAATTGAATTATCCGAAACGCCGTACAATTTCGCAATGGTAAACAATTTTATTAACTCCAGTTCTTTCTGTAAACACCATTCACAGCGCAACGACAACATTCTGCAATAGCGCTGCCATATTATTAAAACTGGTTTATGATACAAAGCATTACAAAAATAAAAAAAACGATTAGCTGGCATATTTACATGAATAGCGCAGAATTCGTTGAGTAAAAATAAAAATGTGGTCCAATAAACTGGTATAGCATACCACTGGTATAGCCTATGACCGATAAGATCTTTTGTCGCGTTGGGACTTACTGGGACTGCAGGGCATCTCAAGTTCGGAATCGCCCAGCTTTTTATTAACCTGTAGAGCCGATCTGAATGCACTTTGGACTTTCTCTTCGCTCGCGTTTGCTTTAAACGGTGTTGTTTAGATTTTCTATTCATAGCGAACAACGGTTGAACTTTGGAGCTCAAAATGATCAACAATACAGGCAAACTTGCAGGACGCACACTATTCATTACCGGTGCCTCGCGAGGAATTGGAAAAGCTATTGCGTTAAAGGCTGCACGCGATGGAGCCAACATTGTGATTGCGGCTAAGACAGCAGAACCACATCCGAAGCTGCCGGGCACCATTTACACAGCCGCAGAAGAGATCGAGAAAGCGGGTGGTCGTGCTCATCCCTGCTTAGTTGATGTACGCGATGAGAAACAGGTGCGTAATGCTGTGCAGGAGGCAGTGGCCAAGTTCGGCGGCATCGACATACTAGTTAACAACGCCAGTGCCATCTCGTTGACCAACACCCCCGACACTGATTTGAAGCGCTACGACCTCATGCATAATATTAATACTCGCGGTACATTCCTAGTCTCGAAAGAATGCCTGCCTTACTTAGAGAAGAGCAACCATGCGCACATACTCAACATATCGCCACCGCTAAATATGCAGGCCAAGTGGTTTTCCCCCCACGTAGCTTATACGATGGCCAAATACGGCATGTCCATGTGCGTCCTTGGCATGGCCGAAGAGTTCCGTGATCGCGGAGTGGCCGTCAATGCACTCTGGCCTCGCACGGCTATACATACTGCTGCGATTGAAATGTTAACCGGTCCGGATAGTGCCACCTGGTCGCGTAAACCAGAGATTATGTCCGATGCTGCCTATGTTGTGTTGTGCAGGGAACCCAAACAGTTCACAGGACAATATTTTATTGATGATGAGGTGCTGGAGTCGGCGGGAATCAACGATCTCACCGATTATGCTTGTGTGCGTGAGAATGCTAATAACTTGATGGTAGACTTCTTCGTAGAGGCTAAAGGTGCTCCGGCTGAAGTGGGCACACTATCAAGCTCTACCGGCGGCAGTGCTGGAGAACCAGGCAAAATACCGCAACTATTTCGTAAAATCGAGTCTCTGTTGTCAGCGGAGATTGTAACGAAGACGCAAGCTGTATATCAGTTTAACATCAGTGGTGCGGAGCAGGGCACATGGTTTTTAGATTTGAAAAATGGCACCGGCGCCTGTGGAACGGGACAGCCACCGTCAGCACCGGATGCTACACTCAGCATGAACTCTCAAAATTTTTTTGATATGTTTTCTGGAAAACTTAAAGCAGCTCCAGCTTACATGTCAGGCAAGCTGAAGATAAGTGGAGACTTTCAAAAGGCTTTAAAATTGGAAAAGTTGATGAAGGCACTGAAATCCAAACTGTAGATCAATATACATACGTAGATGATATATATGCATTTTGCAAGACTTTAAATTAATAAAACGTAGTTATATCGGACGTTTTAAATATTAAGAAAATACGTGTTTTTAAAGTGTAATTGAATTTGTAATTAATAGGTAGTATTGAATGGATTGAACCATCCAAAGCTGAACAGTGCATCATTTAGCAGGTTGGTCGGTTTTTGTGTAAACCGATGTTGATCAGGGTGCTGCAGCATTTTGTGGATTAGTTTCAAAAAGTCTTAAAATTGTTTGCTAAAAGTTGTTCCCCTAAGTTTTTAAAAAAATAATTCGCGACCTGCAAATCTAAAAACAAAAATAAATTTAAGTATTTTCGCCAAGTAAACACGTCGTAACTGAAAATCGTTATCAAAATTTGTGAATATCGATAATACTCGTAGAGGAGTTGAGAAATCCAGTTCTTATTCCTAGAAACGAACAATTCGTACTCTTAAATCATTTATTTCGCTCAACCGTTTAGTTCATTCATAAAATTTATTTATTCTTCCGCTCTTCGACATATAATTTAATAATATATAATAATTTACTTTTTAACGAATTGCTGTTGAAAAGTGTAGGTAGGCAAGCTAACGCATTTAAATTGTAATAAAGAATATTTAAAGAACAAATTTAAATATGTATTTATACATGTACCTATTTTAAAACGTCAAATAATTACAGAAAAATGTTATTCAACAAGAAATGGGATACCATTTTTCCGTATCTTACCAATTAGATATTTATCTTTTTCACGAATTCCGTCTATCAACCCATTTCTGTTAATAACCGAAATAACTTTGTAGAGGAACTAAATCCAAAGAAATAGTTCTTCCGGTCATTGGAACTAGTTCTGGCCGTACCGACCCAGCTGTAATGCGTGGTGTTTACAACTAGTAAAATCCTCTAAAAATGTGTGTATATTTGTTAAGTTAGGTATTCATTGGTGCATTGACTAGATTTAGCATTAACTGGAGCCGATAGGCAACACAAAATTCACCATGTCATCGCCGACTTCAACTAACAAGGTACATCGTAATTATTTACATATGTATGTTGAATGATATGAGCAATTCGTTATTTTCGGCAGGGTGATCTCAAACGTATTATCAAATGCTTCTGCGGATGCACCGACATGACCGTGGAGGAAGTTCGCCGGATATACAGATTAGCAAACAGCGTTCGTGAAACTTTATTGGACTCGGAGGCGTCTAGACTGCTACGGCAATTTATGACATTACACCGATCGGGTGACAGAAGCGAAGCAGAACAGTACCTAGATATTTATGAAAAATGTTCTGAGTTCCTTAAAGAAGATCAACATACCTTTGCGCAAAACAATATCGAAGAATTGTGCGATTTGGGCTTGCCCTACGATCTTGAGCAGGATATGACTCGGCGTATGCTTAACGGTCAACAAACCGATATAAAACTGGGGCTCAACCGTATTCAGGGCAAATGCTGCAAGGAAATTGAGGTTAGCCAAAATTTCGATGATTTCAAAAAGGCTATTCTCAAAAAGCTAGCGCATTGATATTACACCACCGACATACAGGCATGTGATGCACTTGCTTAACAATTCTGTCCACGTACCACAACAAACCTCCTTTAAAAGCTTAAAGTGCCTTTGTAGCGCTTTCAAACATCACAACTTGTATATATAATATGTAGCAACGTTCAATATTCTAGATGTTCTGATTTTTCTTTTTTGCCACATTTGTAATTATATATTTTTAATAAGAACTTAATCGACGATCAGAACATACAGATAAGACATTTCCACTTCAGAAATAAAAAGTTTGCTTATCAAGAGAAGTCGTTGGAATTGTTTGCCTTCGATTTATTGAGTGTGCAAAATTAATGCTTTAAGTTTTTTTCCACGAGTAATACATTTCCATAGGCTTGTTTACCTAGAAATAAAAAAAGTTTAAAATATGGATGTGTATATTATAAAATATGTGAAATTGCACTTACCTTCCAGAATTTGTCATTGACTTGATGCAGTGTCTGGTTGCCATTGAGAATCACCAACTGCTGGGGCTGGGGAGCAATGTAGATGCAAAAGTTGAGCACACGACAAGCCTCTGGTAAATCGGAACCCAAATCTAGAGTGAGGCGCATTGCCAAGTATTTGCTCAGATGGTCTACCGTAGCATTTGCCGTGGTCTTTATGTAGCGTATGCAATTTTCCTTGAGTGCTTTTATGAGCAAATTTTCCGCAGACATCTCTGTGGGATGCGGCTTAAAAACCAGTTCAATTTCATCGTTAATGCCCAACTCTCCGTTGCCTTCGCCCTCAGTATCAATGTTGGAATCGCCCTCAGTGCGACAATCCATTTGAGAGTCCGACTCGGACTCCTCCGATCGTTCTGAGGTTAGTACCGACATTGCCCGTTTCGGTTTAGAGCTGCTTGAGTTTGAGGGCACCGGCGACGGTGTACTGCGCACCGATGGTGGATTGGAGGCATCGTCAATGTGCATACGAGTTGCCGATGTACTAGCTCCTGAAGTGCCAGCGGATGTTGCAGCTGCTGTTGAAGTGCTGGAATGCGCTGAAGTACCTGCCCCCGAGTGTCCTGGATCCCGATTGTCGCTCTCATTTCCATTGGTATTGCTATCATTAGAGCCGGTGTTGTGCCCATGCGTGGCATGGCCAGCACGGCTAACCCCAACGTTTACTCCACTACCACCACCATTGCCACCGCCACTCCCGTTTCCTTTGGTACGAAAGCGTTGTGGTCGATTTTGTGATTGCAACTTTATGCCTTCGTTGATGGAATTAACGAGGGCTTGCTGCGACTGTGTTTGATTGAATTTGGCCATGACCTTCTCTTGTATAGCCTCATACTCTTCGCGACTGGGATAGATCTTTGAGATGAGCAAGTCAAAGTTAGGATCTGCGCGCAGAGAGCGTTTGGAGACAAGTTTTTTCCGACAAGTCGGACATTCCTTGTTGCCTGAACGCAGAGCTGTAACAATACAATCGGAGCAGAAACGGTGCAAGCACTCTTTGGTTGTCATCGTCTGCAATAATTGATATCTTGATTAATATTTACTTTCCTATATGTATTATATCTATTGTTTACTTTCTTTAACATGTCCAGGCAAATGGGACACATTAGTTCGCTGTGCAAACTTCTCGGGGAGACGGCAATTTCGGTGCTATCTGTAATTATCTCTTGCGGCTTCCGCTGCAGTTCGTATAGGGATAAGTCCCATGTTTTGTTCTGTGCTGGTTCCAAAGAGGCCATTTTTGTAGCAACTAACGCAGTTTAGTTTTTATTTTTTCACAGTTTTCACTTTGGCACTCGAAATTGGTAGTAAACACAATGGTTGCATTAGTGTTATCGATAGCTTTTAGTATTGAGTACAAAAATACCAAGATGCTCTATCCACGGTGCTGCCAGACTAGGAAAGAGAGAAGTAGGCATCAACAACATTTAACGGAAATATTCCAGTGTATACTGATTCCGCTTTTTTGCCACTTGGCTTGAATATATTGACACAATTCCCCGAATTACTTTCATATTCTCTCCGTTAAGCATGAACCAATTTGACAATGCATCAACACCTTCTGAAATGGCAAGCCGTCAATCAAGCGCCCCGAAGAAATCAAATAAAAAGCCATATAAGGTTTAAATGCATTGCAAAAACTGCAACAACAGTTAAGTTGCATTTGTGAAGAATGTTTGGTTTTGTCTGTGTGTGGCCCAAAAGGCAAAGCATCCGCCATTAAAAGCACTTGACTTCTAATTCAATTAGACTTGGACCGTAGTTGACAATTACACGCTATTTTATCCAGACAAGACTTCACAGACATGCAACGACCTTTAACAGTAGCTTGCGACATTCCACTATCTCTAGTTCGCGTGTTCCAGTCTTTTCCCAGCCAAGCGTTTCCATTCCTTTTTTTTGTGTATTAAGGAACGACGATGAGGCAGTTCGTCAGTCACTCAACTTGTCGCTGTCACATTGACTGCGCATGCGCGCAAGTGACTTGGCAAAAAATAGAAAACAAGTCGCGGGCCAAGCGGTGGCGACGCATTTCAAACAAGCGGAGAAAACGTTTTCTGCACTTGCGAGATATTGCTAATATGCATTTGTCATATGACACGAATATCGCTGCCAGTGCTTCCAGGTTCAGGACCTCATTAGAGGCCGACTAATTAGCCGGTACCGGCAGACTGGGAGTGTCCCGATTTTCTATCCACAGTGCACATAGAAAATTGCTACATCACTCCAAGTACATAATTCCGATGCAATTTGCAAGTTATCGTGGAGAAGGCTAACGTTTCGTTCCTAGCTCAGCTTAGCCGTTTAGCCAAGCTCGACACCAGTTGAACTGTTGCTCCCACACATTGGCGTCCAAACACGACGCTAGCGGATCAGCAACTATCGCTGTCCTCAATACTGGTCAGCAAGGTACGCGCAGGTTCACGACCCAAATAGCTAGGGTTTATGTATCTCTCTAGTTGCTGTGCCTGCATCTCTGTGCCAGTGTATGTTTGTGTCTGTTGCTTCCTACTTTCTTGTGTTTGATGATTTCAGCACTTTTCAGCTGCATTTGCACTTTATTGACATTAATCATTTGCAGCAGCTTGTTAAAATTTGCAAGCACTTCGTGCGCATTCTCGAAAATCATTGACTGGGATGGAGAGAGATTTGGCTGCCATCGTTGGTAGTTGCATAGTTCCCTGGCATGTTTATGGCTTGTTCTTCTTCTTTATGGCGCGCAGACGTTTTCCTGCCACAACAAAGATTTTTCGTGTTTTTCTTTTTTGTTATGAAAGCGCTTTTGTGTGTGGCCCTCAGCTAAATCATTCATTGGAAGGCGGCCGGAAGGAAGTTCTGTCATCTTCCTTTTTTGAGCTTTGTTGTTTCATGTACGTATGTATGTATGTGTGTATGAAGCCTGCGCCATTTTGTTGTGTTTTATTTTCATGTCTGCAACTTGGGCGCCCCGTGGTGCTGTGGTCAAGTGAAAGTTTTTAGAACAAGAAAATTGCGTTGCCTAATTAAGCATAACAAGCAGTGAGAAGAACGATATCGGGGATTTTAAAGCTCCGCATGCTAGGCAACAATTTGATTGGCGCACCAAATTGCAACTTTGCGAACAGAGAGCAACAGCAACTAGCAGCCAACATGCCACTTAACCTCAAAATACTAGCCATGCCACCACTAGCATGGCAACGACTGGTGAGAATGATGGCGGGGGCGGTGGCGTAAGCGGCATTCTAGGCCAGTGCAACAACAACAAAAGCAACTGCAGCACGCACAGTTAGAATGTCAAAGTCAGTGGCCAGCGGCAAATAATGGCGGCACCCACAAGCCAACAACAAGTAAATACCTTGAACTGTTGTTTGTTCACACACATACATATATACATACATACATATGTACATACATTCACAGGACCGCTTGTTGTAGTTGTTGTTTTCAGCTACAATCTGCTAACTTGTCCAACTAACAACCGACAATAACAGCACACACACTTCAGTTACAGCAAAAACAACAGCAACAACAATTGAAATTGACAATAACAAGCAGCGGGCAGTGGCGGCGGGTTCAGCATCGGCAGCGATGTCCGCCCAATTTCCCAACCAAAACCGTTGCCCAGACCAGAACTGTGCATTGTGATTCTGAATCTGAAGTGGGTCTGCCTCCCATACTGAGACGACAACAACTGACCCAACTGGCTGGCTGGCTGGCTGACTGACTGACGTCCAGGCCGCACAATACAATTGAAGTTTTCAATTGCTTGTTGTCCAAATATGCACGGCACTCGCATACACGGACAAAAATCAAGCAAATTTAAATGTGGAACTCCAATAATCAATATTTTCCCTACACAAATCGTTCGATGGAAACTGTCTATCAATTTCTATAACAAAATTAAAAAGTCTCAGCATTTAACATTTTGGTTGTGAATACTGATTTTATATCTTTGTATCTAGATGGCAAACATTTTGGGTTACAAATAATTTCAAATGTGTTTAGTACTCTAAGGTCTGCTGTCAATTCCAGTACAATGTCAGGTGAAAGTGGTTGGTCATAATCGTCTGAGGAATTTAATTAAATAATTTAATGAAATTTATGTATATATGTAGAACAAAATTCTGTTTATTTCGGTAAAAATCATTGGTGAAAAATTATTTTTTATATCATTTTACCAATACCTCCTTCAATGGCTTCAAAAAAAAAAACTTAACAGATTATTCTTAACAAAATTATCTCAATATGCCAAATATTGTTTTTAAAAAGAATTGTTTTTCTCAGTGTACGCTTGCATTTGTGTGCGTTTGGCAAGTGTGGTGGTTCTATGCCTGCCGCATTGTTTGCTCATTATTATGTAGCCGTTCTTTGTTTTTTCGCGAGCGCATAAATAAATCTCTATTAAACGTTACAACCCTGTGGGGCGTACATTGTAAGGATGTAAGGATAATAATCAATCAGCGCGCAAGTGACATGACGGCAACTCCTACGGGTCGCCATCGCAGCCGCCTGTCAAAGTGGCTCCGGTCCCTCGCCTTCACACCCTCAGCTGAATTTATTTTTTGGCTGCCACGCTTTATTCTTTGTTACTCAGCCCATCGCATGTTTACTCGTTTTTAGTGTGGCTTTTAGAATAGCCGCCCGTCCAAGAACAGAGTCGTCGGGACATCAGCTCACACACATTTACACACACACACACACACACACGCCCAGCCAGGTATTCGGTATTCACATTCACTCTAAGTCGCGGCGACGTCACAGTCGTTAAGCGTGACTTTTAGTTATTGCTGTTGTTGTTGTGTGTTGTTTGTTGCTTTTTGCATACCGCCCGGCAACGTAAACAAAAACACGAAGCACAAAACGGCGAAACGAGTAAGAAGGTAAAAGAAAGCCAATGTTTTCCGTTATTCAAGATTCTCTTCGTATGACGTCATAATAAGCAGCACCGTGTTTTCATTGTGACTTTTTATACTCTGTACATAAAATGTACAAGAGTATATTAGGTTTGCGGGAGCTGAAAATGTAACAGGCAGAAGGAGGCGTGGCAGATCCCACAAAGTATATATATTCTGGATCAGCATGACGAGACGAGTCGATCTAGCCCTGTCTGTCTGTCTGTCCGTATGAACACCTGGTTCTCAGAGACTATAAGAGGTAGAGACACCAAACTTTGCACAAAGATGCGTTATGAGTGTACGCTGTGTTTTATTTTTTTGATTCCCCCCCCCACTTCCCCCCTATGGGGGTTTTCCCGATTTTCCATTCGTATAATCGCCTATATCTCGGAGACTATAAGACCAACGGACACCAAATTTTTGTCCCAGATGCCTTATGTGAATACGCAGAAAATGTGTATTTTGGAATTTCCCTCCCTCCCCCCTCTCCCATGCAAATTTTGCACATACCCCCCGTTAGTAATTATGTATCCGTATGCGCTGCTCAAGCGGTGCCCAAGCGCTGCCCGCGGCGGTTGTTGATGCTGGTGCTTTGGTTGCCTGCGAACATGCTTACACAGACACGAATAGACGCGCATAAACATACATACACTGACATAGACGCAATGGCTTTGTATATGTGCAATTATACACCCTTTACGTGAGTTTTAATACCAAAAGAGGTAAAATCGATCAAAATTTTTATTTTTAATTCTCTTACTTTTTTTAATTTATACATTTGTTCTAAACATATGTACAGAGTATTTCAAAGTCGGGACACCCGACTTTAGCTTTTTTACTTGTTAGTATTGTCACGTGTATTTGGTGTTGCCACAGTGGGGAGGAACTTTATCGTGCACTCTCTTACTTAAACGTATGCTACGCAAAGCTTATTATGACGTACATACTTGCTCAGTGAGTGTAAATAATGTGCAGCCTAATGCGACTTGTTCTACCAGCTATGACTGCAGGTGGCAGGCAGCCAAACAGACAGTAATACAATCATACAGGATATGCGCTGGTCCATAATATAAGTTCTCAATAGGCCACGTAAGATGGAGTAAGCGCGCATTAAATGGCAAGTTACGTGTGGTCAATTATTAAACTTTCTGCTGCCAAATTATTTCAAGTCTAGTTACACTATTCAGTAACGTGTGTGTGCACGGCAAAGTGCTTGTGGAAAACAAAACAACATAAAACTTTTGGCAGAACTTATAGTGACGTACTTGCGCACTGAGACTCAACAAGTTACAGTTTTTAATGGCATACCCTGTACGCTTGTATCAAGCACGCAGACAGAGACAGGGCCGAGAGTACGAGACCAAAGAAGAGAGAGCGGCCCAGAATGGAGCTTTGGTAATAAACCCCGGCATTCGTCGGCAAACCATTCAGTCTTCGACGAGATTTTATCGTGTGTGGACGTGTGCTTTGCGTTAACAATTACTTCGCCTCAGAATCTGAAATTCTTCCAATTTGACGCTGTTTTGAATGAGATTCGAATTGTATTCAGTTGTCGGTCGTGTTGATTCAAGTACAAAAATTAAAACAGCGGTATTTTGGCGCCAGGGCAGTGAAAAGCTTTGGCAAGCGATGCAATTTTAATACTGCATGTGAACAATTGCTGTCCACGATACAGAACAGTTTTATTTCAAATAAGACAACAAAATCAAGTGCAACAATGGCCAAAGCGACAGCTTCGGCTACTTGGCTTCTATGGTAAGACCCACATACAAATAAGTGCGAGTGGACCTCCGACTTCTCAATTCGTTGAGTTGCGTTTCAATGTCCAGAACCCTCTCTCTTTGTCCGTCTGCGTGCCAATATCAAAGTTGGTGGCCTTCATCTCCATGTCCGTTTGGGTGTACTGACACCTGAAGATGTAAAAGGATGCGCTGCTTGATAATTATATATGTATATATAAAATATGTGAACTTGGCCACCTACTCTGTTTTCACTGTTGCGGTTTTTGTGCGATGCATGTGCAGACCACAGCCCTTGCACTTGAGCGTACAGTTCCAGGATTTCCTAGAGCGATGCTTGCGCTTCTGCCGCTTGGCAGGATGACTGCAGATTGGATGGTTATGCACAGTTTAGATGAAGTGTATCACAAAGTCTAAGAATTGAGATAGTGTGCCAAGTAATTTAAAACGGCCCCATCCCCATTACCTCTTTAGTTGATTTAATTTATTGACAGCTATTTAAAGATTACTTAAGTGTTTTTTTTTTACAAAAAAAATATGGTTTCTAAAATCACATTCGTGACCTAACTCTTAGATAAGTAAATAAAATAAATAATACCTTGTACAATATTAAAATCCCTTCAATTCGAAGCTATTTTTATCCTAATGTTTAGGAAACTATGTACGTTAGGTTGTAAAATCGGATCTAGTTTAAATTTAGAAATAAACTACCATTTACAAGGGTTTAAACAGATTTTGCTTAAATCTGAAAATGTTTTGACTATTTCGCCTGTAGCCTTCAAGGATACCCAGTAGAATTTCTCTATGCGTTGAAGAGAAGTCGAGAAAAGCGGTATAGCAAGAATTAAAATGGATCTGTGCTTACCCATTCAGCTTGAGCTTTGCATATTGCATTATTTTCGTGACCAATTGCTGCTGTAAGTTATTCTCATCTGGCTGCATCAAGTCCCCAATGAGTTCAGGTTTGGGCAATGGAACGATTTTGGTCTGCTTATGATTCTCCTGTGCTTGTAGTTGTATCATCGACTCATCTCCCTTCGACCCTTGCTCCGTTTCAAATTGCAGTTTCGCCTCCTTTCTTCGCTTGTTTGTCAGCACCCAGAACATGTTTAGGTCTACCAGCTGATTGATGGACTCCAGGCCATTGTGAAGTAATTCGATTTGTCCATTTAGGGATGCCATTATCGTGTAGAGCACCTCCTGCAATCCTGCTGGCTCGCTTTCTTGTTGCGTTGTCTGTGCGTAACTGTGTTGGCTATTCTTTTCCAACTGGGTCCCCACACTGCTGCTGCTGTGCTCCGTCTGAGTCATGCGGGTCTTGGCCTCGCACTGAACTTGGATGGCGTGTGTGTCCAGCCTTGGAGCTTCTGACTGCGTTGCACTATTGGTAAAATGCCGGATTAACGTCTGCTGTTCCTGTGAATTCATAAAAATCAGATCCTGCGTATCAAGCTTTGCATGGACGTAATGTATTAGGGGGGTTTGGCTACAACCATCCATGGAGGTCACTGAAACTTCCACTGTGCTCGTTTCCTGGACCTGTGTCTCTCTTGTCTCGATCGCCTCTGTCTGGGTTTCCTTGTATTGCATCTCCATCATCCCTGTTTGTGTCTCATTGTCGCTTGTCCTCATACAAATTGTTTGCGTTCCATTGTGACTTGTCGCCATTATTATTGTCTCAGTCTCCTTGTCCGCTAGTAGCTTGGTGTCTGTTTGACAGCAGCTATCCTTAGGCTCAGATAGGATCTGGCAGTGCTTCCGAAGTCGACACATACGTTGCCGGCGTCGATTCAAACGATTCGCCAGCTTCTGGGGGGCATTAATGCGTTTCATGTGCTGCACAGAAAGTTCCGTTCCGCGTAGTTCAAACCGCACAGCATAGCTGATAGATAAGAGTATGTAGAACGTTTGGATTGTTCAATATCTTCAATATGAGAAATGAGAACTGCTCACCTTACTTTGCCCATTTTTATGCATTTCTGAAACCACATTGTCCGCTTTACTGTGCTGGACAAGAGCAGCATTTCCTTGATATCTATGCTCTTCATATTGTTAACTGTAACCGTGTCTCCTATATTTACTAAAATCTCCGAAAAAGAACATGAAATTTTAAGAACAACGAAAATATTTCAACCAGAATATAAATGAATACTTAAATATTCTGAAGACTTATAATGCCAATGTACTAAGTTTGCAGCCCCAGTCCCCAAATTTATATTTCTTTTGACACGCAGTCTTTTTGGTTTGAATCTGTCTTTAGGTTTTCAGCACGCAAACCTTGTGTTGTTGCCTTTTCTCCTGTTTTTGTTGAAGTTGTTGCTGTTGTGGCTGACGTTGTTGCATGCCCGCGGGCTCCTTTGTACTTCGGTGTTCGGCGCAGGACTCATTAATAATTCAAAATCGCCACATATGTTGCCTGGATGCCCAGCGTCGCTGGACAACAAATATCAAAAACAACAACAGCACAAACAAAAAATGCATTCACTTAATCTATCATTTATCAATTGTGGAACGACCTACAAGTATCTTATATACCCTTTAATGGCCTAAATGCATAGGTGCATAGGAGAAATATTCGTATAATAATGCTGTTCCACGTATAGTTATAGATTGAATAATTTGTTCAAAATAGAAAATAAAATTGTTTATATTAAATTTCCGATTAGAAATCAAGATTTTTTTATCTGAATTTATTTATTTATTGATTTTCTTAATCAAAAACCGACTACAGGTCTAGGTCTTTTTTCCCCAATTTAAAGTGACGTAAGGTTTCGAGGTTAATTTTGAAGTATTCCTGTTCAGGAATAGAATTTTCCGCTATTTGAACTAAATGAAGGTTTAAGGTAGTTTTCTCATGGATACCATTGTCGGAGCTGGACCAAAGAGTCATTAAAATCAGTTCACCCAGTCGAAAGTTCTGAGGTAGCAATCGAAATTGAGAAAGTCCTTTGCTGAACATAACTCTCATCAAAGTACCCTTGAAGCACATCCTTTCCAATAAAAAAAGAACCATCTAAATTGGTTGGCGTTATTCGGAGATAAAATGCAAATTTAAGACTTATATGGTTTTCTCTGGATGCCATTGTCAGAAATGGACAGAATTGAAATGGGACCATTCGAAAAGCACCAGCTTTGAAATGGGAAAAGATCGGTTCACCAAGTCAAATGTAGGTAGGTAGGTAGGTGCGGCAGGCAGAGCTTATGAAGACCCTGACTCATTTAGGCCGTGATTATTTGGCCCGTTGTGATACCGCGTGGACAAAGTCCGCTTCCCATATCCCGTGGTTGGCTACATTCCTGCGCAAAGTTGTTACACCCATCCGGATGCCCGGATGAATTTGTAAAGTCAAATGTAACAATTATAAAAATATCCGAACTCACTGCAGCCGAACTCTTCAATTTTATATATTTGCAAAGATATTTAAATGGGGTACAGATATCCGTGTATATCCCCGTACTTACAAGGTGTGTTCCAAAGTAAACAGGACTTTCAAAAAAAAAAAAACAGAACAAATGATTTTTTCGGCAAAATCAATTTATTTTATTCGAAATAGTCCCCTTCTGCTTTAATACAGCTTTTTGCACGATCCAAAAGCATGTCGAACGAGTGTTTTAGCTCGTTGGTCGGTATGGGCGCCAGTATGTCGGTGCAAGCCATTTGAATGGCCTCTACATTTGCATAAAGCTTTCCCTTCATGGGCAAATGCATTTTTCCGAAAAGGTAGAAGTCGCACGGTGCCATATCAGGTGAATACGGCGAGTCGTTAATGGTTAAAAGGTGAATTTTGGTCAAATAATCGGCCACAAGCGTCGATCGTCAGAGCAATTTTTGGTCGTCAGTCAAGTTGTGCGGAACAAACCGTGCACACACCTTTCGTAAGCCCAAATGTTCGGTCAAAATGCGATAAATCGATGTTTTGGAGATGTTCAATTCCATTTCCATCAATTTCAATGACGATTTCGGCGGTTTCGATGGAATTTTCGGTGATCTGGAATTTTGATTGGCCACTTGAAAACGTTGAAACCACTCGTGCACTCTGCTACGGGATAGGCAAACATCGCCATAAACTGGTTCCATCAATTGAAAAGTTTCGGTAAAAGTTTTACCAATTTTAAAACAAAAATTAATGTTGGCTCTTTGTTCGAAGCTCATTTTCGCACCGATAACACAAGCATGCTGACGCTTAAAACGCAATAACTTCACTTCCAATCGATGAAATGTCATTAAATTCTCACTGGACAATCGATAAAGACAGCAGATTCTAACGCACCAGTCGACATATAGATAGCGCCACCGGGGGGCGCTAGATTCAAAAAGTCCTGTTTACGTTCGAACGCACCTTGTATATGCTATAGAATGAATAAGCCGATAGATGTTCTCAATTTTATTTTTCTTTTGAATGTAGAATATTTGTTGTTTTGAAAGATCACTTGTTAGATTGGGCTTCCCATCACAATTACTTTTATTCGGAGTTATACAATAATAAATGTATAAAGTAGAGCAACCTTCATAACTTGTTTATTGCTAAACAATCTGCTAATCTCTAATAACTTTCTAACTCCCGGAAAAGGATGTGCAGTGGCAAGCGTTCTATAACCTGCAGACTGGAGCCTTTGGGATATTATACAGCTTTGTTCAAGAAGCTTAAAAATTCAGTTTTCCTTTATATGGATCCTTCTCTGCATGTATATGAATCGCCTATTTAAACAGAAAGAAAAATTCAGGCCATATTTATTTTTGATCTAATATGATGTTTTGCAACAATCGCCATCATAAATTTACAATCCCCTGTTCAATTGCAATGGCATTAAATGCCCACAAAAACCACAACACAGACAAGCCGTGCAGTGTCCATGTCAAAGGCGCCCCCGGGCTTTGCTTTCGTATGGGCCACAGCATGTGGTCGGGCTAAATACGCGTTGATTTGAGCGCTTTTTGATTGCGCCAAAAGGATTGGAGCGAGTGCGACTATTGTCGGCACATGCGAATTTAACTTTTTGCCAATCGTCCACGCCGAGACCAAGGCCCAGACACTTCCGTTTGGGCGCGGCTGCAGACACCAAGCACACACACACACACACACACACACACTTACAATCGAAGGGGCATAGAGACAAGCAGACAGAAAACTACCATGCAGCTGGAGCCAGCGGTAGCGGCAGCGGCTGCTCAGCTGTCAGAACTGCCGTCTATCAGCCTCCTAATCCCGCTCATGTGCCCAGCCGGAGGGTGTAGTTTTTTTTGTCTTGAGGAATTCACGCTGCTTCCTTCTAACTTTTTGCCTTATGCCATGTTTTTTTTGTTTCTTTTTTTTTTCAACATAAAACTTTGCATGCATTATGTGAGACGCTGAGGCGCGCGTTGCTCTCCAATGCCATGCACGTTCCAGTCAATATGTTTACTTCAATGCTCTTGTGGCTCATGTTGTTGTTGCTGCTGTTGCTTGTTGCCTTCGGTTACATTTATTGCATAGACTTCATCAATTTCCATTATAATTTGTATCGAGTCTACACTCGCGTTGAATGCCTCAGCAGAAGCTTCTCTATCCCAGTTCATATGTATATAGTATGTATGTATTTGTGAATACTATATGGCCAACTGCTTAGTCGGTCAATAGCTTTTACCTCACTTGCCAACTTATCGTTGGCAAATTCAAACGAAATGGGTCTCATGCTTCCACCATCAGTTTTGTAATACAAGTAGGCCTGATATTTATACAATTTTCAAATTGTTAAAAGGAACAAATTCTAGAAATCTAAAAAAAAAATTTTAAAAAAGTTATTCTTAAACTTCTCATTCTGGTTAAGAATGTCATTCTTCCCAGATTCTACAATTTTGTAAGCCCTCTTGGTAAAAAAGCATGATATCAAAATTTCTCACACTCAGCCGAACAATCATTCATTAATTAAAGAAAGATCTTACAAATGGCGATCATGATTATTTAAACTATGTACTATATTTCTACGTCGTAGATATTGGTACAGGTTGGTTTTTATGCCCTGTACCCAAAGGGTGAAAGGGGATATTAGTTTAAAACAGATGGGGGAAGGAGTTACAGACTCCATGTTAGGGTTGAGTCTGTTATTTGTCGGTTTGTTTTCTTGGTCTGTCATTATAGTCGTGCTCCTGCCATGATGGTTTAGTAATGCAGAGCTCATTAGATTGCATTCATATTCGATTGAAACATGAAATTGATCGGAAAGGGAAATATAATTATGCATAAATTCTCTTTAAAAACAAATACCAGAAGAAGCATTATGCGTTTTTATTTGCTTGAGTTTTCAGAATTAAGTCATAACCCAATGACACTTTTCCGCTCCCTAGTTTTTCTCACATGCAGCGCATAACGGCTTCGACTATGATGTTGTTACTTCTTTCTTTTTGTATTATTTTGACTGCTCGCTTGACTTTTCTTGCACATACATACACATGCACACATTAGAATGTAATGTACGTGCTCATTTGCATTTTGCGTTGTTTTGTTTTGCGCTTTCTTCCTTTTTATTAGTTGTTGACTCGACCTGCTCTTGCTTTTGTTGCTCATTTTGTAAGCGCACACCAACACCCAACACAGTGGGAGCTACCATCCATATCAAGTGCATTAGAAGGTGGGACCTGTTCCCAAGCTGCGTTGCCGTTACACTTGCCCGGAGTTGGGTTTTCAATTTCAAAGGGTCGCATCTTTTTGCTTCAAACTCCATATGGAATCAGTTAGCAATTTGCTTGAATTACAAAGACGAGCAGCAATTCAAATAGATGATGGGATAGGGGAAGGCGAGCAAAGCTCCTTAGCAATCAGATGGTCATTGTCAAAACGGTCGACCTTCCCCCTACACTCCAACAACGCTCCTGTGCGTTCGAGTGGAGTCTATAAAATGGGACTCTTAGGGCACAAACAACACAGCACAGCACGGGGCACAGGGAAATTAAACCACAAACAGCTTATCCATATAGAATTTCGCACATAAAATGCGATATGTGTGTGTATAGTTTATTGTATATATAAAAGGAAGAGCCATAAAAGTAATTTCATTTTTCAGTTTATGTTGCCTCATTGGTCTCGCTGCTGCACTGACCGAGAACAAGGGCAGCGGCTCCTCGAAGCCAACAACGACGGCCAAGGATGCAGCTCGCATGTACAATATCAAAAGGCAGGACAAATACCAGCAGCATGCAGTCACAGGCGCCACATCAAAAGCCATAGCCATGGATAGTGCCGGCAATGTTGTTGCTGGCAGAGTGCCAGCCACGAGGAGACAAAAAAACTTGACAAAAAGCGCACACGGTCTCAATAAGAAGTTGCTCAAGTGAGTATGGGAGCCGCTGTTTCGTTTATTTCGGACTTAATTAATGCAACGTGTCTAGTAACAACAAAACAAAAATTACAACAAAAAACAATGAGCAAAGTGCAGACCCAGTCTTCTGGGCTGCTATAAATTATATAATGAAATATTCATGGAAAACGTTTAGAACTTACCAGGCCTTTGATTTATGTGTCCAAACGGGCAACTCACTGCAACTCTTTATCTCGTTCTCTCCCTCTCTCTCTCTCTCTCTCTCTCTCTCTCTCTTTCTTTCCCAATGGATCTGCATCTGGGTCTGCCTCTGTCTTGGCTTGGCTTGCAGCAAAATGGGTTTTATCAAAGTCAAAGCGCCCAACAGCCACAACCGGAAACGTTTGGCGGTTGAGTCACGACGTCATGCAACACGGGATGATTCACACATGTTCATCATAAAATTACCGCCAAATCTGAACTACTACACGAGTCCCAGTGGCAATGCCAGGAATGCAGCAGCTGCTGTAGCAGCAGCAGGAGGAGCATCGGAAGCGGGAGTGGTGGCTTCAGCCACATCGATTGCAACAACAAAGCAACCCAGCGATAACGCACAAAAGGCAACGATGGCAAAAGTTTCAGCAGCAACAACAACAACAGAGGCGTCGGTGTTGACGTTGGACGCGATGAAAACTAACGGGAAAAAGGTAAACGGGATTCCATTAGGTTACGCCATAGACACATGCATAGTCACAGTCACAACAGCCACCAACAAAGCAAGGTTTGCCCCACAACGCAGCCGCAGCGGAAAAACCGGCACAAAACCGCGTATTCCTAGCGTCATGATCATGATCATCATGCATTGTGTTCTGGGGTCAGTGTTGCATTCTTAGCTTTTTATTTCCACCTTCAAAGTTGTGGCCATGACACAACACTGTTGGCCAGAAAAATGCCAGCATGCGTAATGTGCAAATTCGAAGATCTATCTTATAGGGCATTAGTGTCAGATTTGTGGTCCATACAGCAAGACATTTTGTTTCTTTCTGTATATGTATATGTATGTATACAAGTATATGGGTTTTTACGACTTTGATGTTTATACTAGAAGATCAATTTGTACGAACGACGAGAATACTTTTAGCGTTATTTTTCAATGCGAATTTGGAAAAATTTTCAAATTAAAGATCAAAAATATTACTACAAGCTCACTGAACTGGTCGTAAGCGTCATATATGTAGGTAGTAGAAAATGTCGCTTCACTCATATCCTATTTAGACTAAAGCTAATTAAAATGAGACATTTTTTACATATAATTCGTCTAAATAAAACATTCCATGTTTTTAGAGACAGGTTTGCCAATACGATCTAATTAATATTCAAGTAAATTTTTAAAATGACACACTTTTTTCAAATACTTGTATTTGACAGATGATGTGCTTCTATTTTGATAAGTTATTGCCTCTTTCCTGCCATCTAGACATTTGCCAGGCCGAAGTGGGTTGCACTGTAAGGCTGGCAGACTGCCTCTAATATTTTGCTGGCAACTGGCGATAAGCATCGTGCGCTTGCGCACAAAACAAATTGCAAAACACACAGCGAAAACAGCAATACAGATTACCCATTTGGGCTGGAGTTGCAACAACAGGCATGGCATGCTTACCTGCTGCCCGTTGCTGCAGTTATGGCTCACCCATATATCCAGCATCGAATATGTAGCTGTGCTCTGGCAACGCACATGCGTCGGCAGCTATCGACCGACTTATAGAACCGCCTTGGCCCCAGCCAGCAAGCCAGATTCAGCCAGCCAGTCGGCTATTTATATACGAGCAGGAGTTGCCGTTGCCTGGCGTTGTGTCTGGAATTAATGCGCCAAGTGTCAATGTCAGTGGATGTGGAGTGGAGTGGAGTGCAGAAATGCGTACAGTGATGCCTCTCAGATAAGACTTCCAATCTAGAAGCTCTTTACTCTAATAAAATCGAACTAAGCAATCTCTTAATCATCTAATAACTAAATGACAGTATTCCATACCTTTTCATATTTTATTCCAAAGTTGTCTAAGAAAATAAAAGTAGTAAAGATAGGTCCGGTTAGTAGAAATGTCAATAGAGCTTATGAGAATTAACTGTACAAGTCAAATAATTCAAAAAACAATTTGTTATGTTAATTTCCCTATGATCTGCTGTTTTCTCACTTACAAAAGTTTATATAATGATTACAACTCACTTGAAATTCAATCTTACTTGTACTTAGTATCTAATCAGGTTTCTCGTTATTTATTATATTGAACATCTTAAGAATGGAATGTGAGCCCACATTGGTCGGATTTCACTGTACTCGTATTATGTGCGTGTGTGCGTTGTTGGGGATTCTGTGGCTGGCATGAACATAATTTCGCCAAGCGAGACTCCAACTTGGCTCTCACGTCATGCTTGAGCTATGTATGCAGAAATTAATATGCAAGCCATTAACTAAGTCGAAGTCGTACCTAGTCGACGCTCACCTCACCTCAGTTCAGTTTAGTTCAGTTCAATTAAAATTGCAATTTGTTAGACCAACTTGGTTAATGGGCGCCTAATATAGATGCTTAAATCAAAACCTAGCTAGATTTATGGGGCGCCAGTGCTATGTAAATAAAATTTGTCGGCCATTATTCAATCACTCACTGGACTGGTACTTCTTCTATTGCTTTTCTTTCAGGTATCGTTTCCCTTTAGCTCGAACGGACGGCCTGGTCGTATATATCACTGGAACCTGCCAGTACTGAAGCATGCGCTGCACAAGAAGCCGCATTTCTCGCATGTCTCGGCCGCCGATCGCAATCGTTTGCTGGATATTAAGGACATACCGACTTGGCGCAAGCCCTGGGAGAATGAAACTGTGGAGAAATCATTTGCAGCGGGCAGTGGCAAATCGAAGTACAGGAAGTCCCTGAAATCCAAGTCGCCAACATATTATGCGCCTGCCCAGGCGGTCAGCAAGCACAGCTTTCACAAATATTTTGCCGGCAACGGCAAACCGAAGGGCCTCTATGTCATCAAGGAGCACCAGACGAAGCCGCTGTTTTATCAGAATATCATATCGTAAAATATAGAAACGCATAGCAGGCATTAATAAGACTGTGGTGTGTGGGTGTCCATAACTTTTTACAACCTACATATTTTTGGTTAATTGTGTGCGACTCGACGTCGACTTCAGGCTACAAAGTTTTATAGTTTATACTATATACATAGCTACATATTTCACATTCATTTCAAGTTTTCAGCGGCTGCAGTCTGCTTTTTTTATTTCACTCACTTCCGTCCAGATTCACAAGAAATATGTATTCTAAGCTAAGTACTCGGACAACACTCTTCATGAGATACATGCATAAAAACAATACGTACAGAAACGATATACTCGTACATATATACATATGTATACGAAATACTTATGTATATGTATATGTACAATGATATATACTAGGTCTACTATAACTGTCTGACAGTAAAAAATGTGAAACTTTATTTTTGTATAGGGAAAACGTATGGTGGGCTCAAACAGGCAGATACGAGTAAAACAAGTATGTAATCGAACTGAGCTCCACAAATCAAATGAAATTTATAATAAAAGTGCAAGTTTTGAATGCGATTGCCTGCGACTATCATCAGTAAACTAATGAAAATATCAATTATTTTTAAGTGCATTCTGTAATGATTTTATTTTCGGAATAAAAATAAATCTAACGACTGATTTTAAACAGAGAATGTGTTGCAAACAAAGAAGTTCTGTCAGTTTATTGACATGGGGAGTCGCCGTTCACGGTCGTGTAGTCGGAGGTAGGGCCCAGGGGCAACGATGCGGTCAAAAGTAAATACGACAGTTGAAGAAGGTGCGAAACACAAGACAAAGCCAACAATGCAGGCGCCTGGCAAATTGACAGCTGCATTTAACAGAAGACAAGGTACAATACTCTTGAAGTGGTTAAGTGGTGGGCACTGGGTTGGAGACTGAGGATTGGGGCTTGATACTTAGACTGAAGGCTTGCGTGGCAAGCTAACAAGCTGAGAGTGAAACCTAATTTTGGCCAAATTGTGGATTCAACGGAGTGACTGCCTAGGCAGCGTATCAGCGCATTTATTTTTATTTTTGTTCAAATTTTAGCTAATTGTGTCTGGGCGCGGCAGACTCACGCACACACACACACATTCTTATACAAATGGACACAAATAATCATATGTACGAGTATATATACATTTGCGAATGCTAGACAAATCGGTCTTAAGCCCTTTGAATAAGATTTGAGCATTAAGAGGCAGTCGCCTGAAACGGAAGCGTGGAGTCGCGCGCATGCGCTATTTTTCATTTCGCAGATAAAAAGCGCGCCATACATTATGTATGTACATACTTGTATGTATATATGTATGAACATACAGATAAACAAATGTATGTATGTATGTATGTTCATAAATTCTATAGGAATGTATTAAGCTCGAGAAAAGTCGTCGGCACACCTTCCAACTGGCGTGTACATACAAATATACATATGTATACGTAAGTATGTAATTACAATTTTTGTTTTATTATTGTTTTTATTTTTGGCGGCGCATAATTGTTTTCTTCTTGGTTTATGTTTTTCCATCCTTACGTACATTGAACTTTTCACCCGTGCCGTTGTCGCCACTATACTTGTACATACATATGCATGTATGTACATATATTAGGGTATCTATGTTGTGTATCCATGTGTCGTGTATCTGGCGCACTGAGTGTAAGTAGATTTAATGACTTGTAGTTTTGTGAACAAAACAGCCAAAGAATAAACCATAAATCACATTTATGACCAATGCCATCAACTGCTCTTTGAGTCCAGCCTCCTAGTACAGGCGATTGATTTTTTATGACCACTTCATTCATTCATATACTTGTATGCATATACATACATAGTATGTGTTTGAGTTCAAAAATATATACATATACATATATACAAAAATATGTACATACATGTTTTCTTGGCTTGCTTCAGAGCCCATCCAAAGGAACTGCAATTGCAATAAACAGTTATATGGCAATCATACGCCAAGCCGCCGTCAGATAAAAGCCAGCAAGGGGCAAAAGCGGCATGGCAAAAGCTAAACTAAAGCGTCTTGATATCAACAGCTATGGTAAACAGCCACAGAAACAGCCAGAAGTTGCAACTTGTTAACGCCATTTCCGCCTGTCATATCAAAATAATTATCTCAAAGTGTTACCAAGTCCAAGTTCCAACTACCATGATATGTGAATAAAGCAACAACAACAAGAACTGCCTACAATTGTGGCAAAGTCAGAGTCTCGTCTATGAGCATGGCGTGCTACAGAACAAACGGCAGTTGCAACAACCACACACGAGCAGAAACCACAACAACTTGATCTGTGGAACTTGTTTTTCACGCAATCTTGATTGTAATTATGTTATTCCGAAATGTGTGTACGCAGTAATTAAAATAACATTTCACTTAATTGTGTTTACATAACTTTTAAGTCTGATAATAGCTTACAATTCCTTTGCCACACACACACACATAAACATAAATGGTTGTTGAATATATTCCACATCATATTTTCAGCTGCGCCGAAGATATGCAAATTTTTCTAACAATAATTTTTTTGTTTCTAGGAATTCAAGTTTGAATTTAACAATTTCCCGCGTTTTCAATGATAGGGTACTGATTTCTTTTTCGTCATGGTGGCAACTCCAATTATGTGGATGTAGCTCGTGACACACATCGTGAAAAAACAGCTGTTGCCGGTATTCTGATAGGAATTCAGTTTGTTTTGTAAATAACTTGAAGAAAAATGCCTGATTCTGACAGAAAAGTTGACGATTTGACCACAAAGCTCCGACATATTATTCTAAACACACGAGTGCCTCTTGTTCTTCCTGGGTTTCAAACTAATTGGACCTGCTTTAGTGGCACTCTATCCAATTGGTGTGAAATTTTTGATCGGAAAGCCAATTGCCTACCAATTTTTGAGCGCATGCTGCTCTCTGATAGCAATACCCCACAATGGGAACGAAAGCGGACGCAGCTGGGCATGACAACTAAAAATTTTTTACAGCATCATCACATGACACAGCCTTACTGGACAGCCTATCACTATAAACGTGCAGAAGAGCTGCCGGCGGCATGCAAAGAGGGCATAGATTTCGGTTGCTTTGGGTTCGAGGAGCATGGGAACGATTACACCTTCTGGCTGGGCTCACAAGGCGCCAATACACCTTGCCACTATGACACGTTTGGTGTAAATATTGTTGTTCAAGTGTATGGTAGCAAATCTTGGTTGCTCTTCCCACCGGACACTCCCCTTAAGAGCACCCGCATACCATATGAAGAGTCCAGTGTTTACTGTCGGGAAAATTTCTTTGCACCCGCTCCCAAGGAGTTGGCCAGCTTGGAGAAGTATCAATCTCAGGCTTATCACTGTGTTCTCGCTGCCGGCGATGTGCTTATCGTGCCTCGTCACTGGTGGCATTATGCAGAGGCGTTGGAAACTTCCTTGAGCGTTAACTACTGGGTACCACTGAAACGTGACTTGGACATAGCCTTTGAAGAGCTTATAGTTAAGCACATGGTCGAGAGTTTTGCTAAAAACGAGAGCGAAGAAGTAAAACGCTACTTGCTAAATCCAAATCAGCTGGAGGAGATTGTATTAAAGCCCACTGACCTATTTGATCAGTTCGAGCGGGCAATAAAGAGCGCCGAAAGTACAGAGAGCAAGCGAAACCATTGGAATAATGAATATTTAAGCCAGGAAGAAGTGAATCAACTGTTGAACTGCCTAGAGTTGCAAGTGCACCCATTGCAAATTATGTCGCAGGATGCTTACACGCATTTACTGACAACCAATGCATTGCGTCATACTTCAAGCCCCACAGAATCGCAGGTGCTAAGCCCCACGCTGGAGCTCTTGATAAATAGCATGTGTGCACCCGTCAGTATTTCCTCGATCAAGCGCGAGTTTTTTCAAAGATTGGGCGAAGGCAGATTATAGTTCTGTGAAACATTTATTGTGATCAATATTCTGTAATATATGTTTACATGAGATTATACCGGAAATCAAATATTTTGTAAGTATTTATGGGTACATATAGGGTACAATTCAATTCAAACAAAACCAAACAAATGCATTAAATGCCGAGTGCACTCTTCTAGATTCGCGAAAACAGTTAGGGCTAAGCACAGTGGAGCATGCGGTGTATATGTGTAAATCTAGATAAAAATGAAGACAACGTCCACGCCATTTACCAGCCTGGTGGTTTCTGGTTGGGGTAGCCGCCCTGTTGATGGGCAAAACTGCCTGGATAGGTGCCGTAATGACCGGGCGCAGGGCCTTGGGGCACGCCTGGATACTGATAAGCTATGGATACGGAATGAAAAAACGGTTATAATACATTTTTGAAAAAACACCTCGTCGTTAACTTACTGCCTGGATAGGGAAGCGTGGCGTAAGGATTGAAACTTTGAGGCATGGGCGGCGGCACATATGTGGGATAGGGTACACCAGGTGTAGCGCCATATGGCACAGGCATGCCATGTACCTGCGCCGGATACGGCATGTTCATGGCGGCCGGAACAGGAGCAGAGCCTCCCGCTTGCATGGATGGAATGTCTGGAACATCTTATAATATTATTAATAGACTAAACAAGTTGTTCTAAAGCAACTCACCACCGCCAGATGTGGACGCGTAGTGCGAGGGCAGTGCAGGCGTAGCTGGTGGCGCCTGACGACTCGATTCTGTAGTCAAATCCTTGAGCAATTCTTCTTTCTCGGTTTTTCGGGCAAAGCAGAAATCGCTGATCTTATTTTGGAATACAACGAGCAACTGTGTGAGGTCGTTGTAAAACTTAGTTCCCTCCTGCAAGTTACCCGATAGCTCAATGTAGCTATCGTAGGCAGTGGCCAGCTCCTTGTAGAGCTTGTCGCGTGAACTGCCACAGTTGCCCGTTTCGGAGACGAAGGTAGCGTGTGCGTTCTGTATGTCGGCCACCAGGGTTTGTTGACGCTCCACACTCTCCTTGACCTGCGACTGCAACGGGTTTAACACTTGACCAATCCGCGCCAAGCTCAAGGCAGGCTCATCAATGGCGCCGTCCTTTTGCAGTGCATGTAAGAACTCATCTTTCATGTTAAATGTCGCCGACTTTAGTTCGGCCTCGGTGGCATCGCGCTCAGCCTTTATGGTCTCCACGGCCTCCATCAGCTGCTTCAAGCGCTGCACACTTGAGCAGTTTGGATCGACACTGCCACTGGCCGATGGGAGAGATTGCTGTATTTGCTCTGGCGGCAACGAAAGCAACTCAATGCCCTTTTGATTGGCCTCGAACTTCTGCCGCACAACCTTATCCGCCTCGATGGCATTATTGATGACCTCGCGATATTTCTTAGCATTGGTGCGGAACATTTCGGTTAATTTATCTGAAGATATGCGTGTCCAGCGCTCCTTAAACTGCGCACGCAACTGATTATCTGAGTCCCGTTCTTCGTCTAACAGTCGCTCCGTTTCGTCTAGAATTTCGCGATTACGGCTGAGAAGATCGGGCAAATCCTTGAGCAACGTCTGCACATTTTCAATGCCACCCTTACTGCGCACCTCGTTGGCCTTTTCACGCAACGATGGTGGCAGTCCGCAGCCACTGTCGGTGGTCTCCACAGCAGCAGGCAGGTTCAAGCTGGCCAGTACTGCATTCAGTGTTTGCGTGGCTTCACGCAACTTCATGATCTCGGCATTCACAATCTCATTCTTTCGCATGTCAGAGGCAGTGAGAGCACGATGCAACTCCACGGGCACCAGGTTGGTGAAAATATCCTTGAAACTGCTAGCCATTGGAACGGCTATCGATATGGGCTTCGCCAGCTGAGCCTTTCCCGGCGATGCCAACGTGCTCAGATCTGGTATTATTTCATTATAGATAAACTCATTGTCCTTTGTCGATTCGGCGAGATTGCGCTTGGCGCGACTGAAATATTCATCCAAATATGTCTCGTTTCCACCACGAGACTGCGCTGCCTTGAAAAGATCGACGGAGTTGCGCAGGCGAGCAATCTCCTCGCCAATGCGCTTAGCAGCGCGACAAACTAAGCTTTGATAGAGTTGGGTAAGAGCATGGAAGCCAGCCTGCTTGGCTGCAATGGTTGGTATCCATTCCTTCTCCCAGAGACTCCGCACCGACTCTTTTTGCATTGCACGTAGCACATCCGCGTAGAACTCCTCACCCTGACAGCATAATTTCGCCACAATCTGGTCCTTCATATTGTCTAAAAATATAAGATAAAGCAACATTATAATGCAAATAGCTATGGTGATAATCATCATTACCTTTAATGGCTTTCAGTATGAACACTTCCTGAGCTTGAGCAACCATTAGTGCCTGCAGCACAACTAGGGTGTCCTGGCTCAAATCAGGCGTGGGTTCCGAAGGTACAGCTGCGGGTGTAGCTCCTTTAAGATACTGGAAAATGCCCGCGCTCTGCTGGAGCAGCTTTATGGCCAGCTTTTGACCCTCATCCGTGTCCAGAGCTTGGGTAGAGGCCACGCAACTCTGCAGCGCCGCAATATTGAACAGCACACAAACTTTCTCATAAATCAGGGAAGTGTGAGCTGATGGCCAATGTGTGTTAAAAAACCGGTTCACATTTCATTGCTTTAGATAACTTACTCAGACTGATCTTGCCACCAAAGATAGACCCCTTATCAAAAGCATCCTTCCACTTGAATGGTATTTGCAGCTCACTGACTGCTATCTTTGTTTCCAAAGCGCATATTTGATCGTAATAGCTTTATCAAAAAAAAGACAACATAAATAAACAGCCATAGATAGAGGCCAACGGTGGCTCATTAAAGACGACGTCATCCCAGAAGCTTGATTATTTTTGATTCACACGCACATGCACATATGTATGTATGTACAAACACAATCTCAATTGGTGCTAGTGAGTGTAGCGCGCACTGATAGGCTTTTGTCTTGCCCATTGGCCACAGTGAGTCATGCCGAGCGAAAAACCCACGGATTTATTAACATACACACGTAAGTAATTTAATTGTCCATACTTACGCGTAAACGACTTCTAATGAGGCCTCATATTTTTCGAAGAACTTCCAAATTGCCGTATTGCGTTGTTTTGCAAACTCATTTACAGCTTCGGCATAGCTCGCCTTTTCCTCTGCAGAGGCTCCATTGTAGGTGCTCTGTATTAAATTGTTAAGAGGTTTTACAATGTCCACCTCGGATGGTTTTTTCAGCGGCACGCCCAAAATTTTTGACATTTTCAACAACGTAGAATATATAAATCTTTTTATTCGTTTTGAGCCTCTGAATTAAAAAATTAACTAGTTTTTCGACTTTTCCTCTGCACGGCTATCTAATGTTTCTCTCTTCGAATATTCTCATCAACAGCTGCTGCTGCGGCGGCAGAGAATATTTATGGAATGACGGCAACAGCGAATTATTGTGAATTAAATATTGCTTTCTATTGTGAATTGTACGGCCGAACACAGTGGCAGCTCTATGGTAGAGATGGACATATGAGGACATATTTTTTGCCACGCAAATTATGCACTCACTTTTCCAATACAAATAAATGGAAACTTTACTCAATATGCAGTGAAAGTAAAATTGGTATGGATTCAGTGTAACCATTCTTCTTCCCACAATACTAAATGCAGAACGTCGAAGAATTCTTAAGGTATTTCTGCACTCACGTCATTCACTCAGATTCGTTCACGCCAAGAACCCATCACTGCTCTAGACACTTTCTATTTCTGCGGAGAAAACTTCAGATTCAGCGAAAATATTAAATTTCTTGCATAAAAAGTTAAACAGCGTTAATAATTGCAAAAAAGTGTGGAAAAGCACAATTTGAGACGCAGAAAGCGATTGGAGTGCAAATTGTGTGAGTGTTGAGGGCCGAGCACGCTTCTCTGTGATAAACATTTGCAGCGCAGAAAATCGAAGAATCGCTTGCGATGGCCGAGGTTGAAAAAATGTCAGCGGCTCCACCGACCGATATTCCCCTTACTTCGCCAAGTGCCAATGTAAGCGAATCGGGTGGAGGCAGTGGCCCCGAAATGGGAACTTCGCCTCCAACATTGGAACGTTCCAGTAATTCGCACCCTCACGACTCCGAATATGATACGGCCAGTGATTTGGAGGGCGGTGACGGTTATGATGACGATGACATTGAGGACGAAAGTTTGAGCGAGGAGGAAACGGAGACGGATGACGATGATCTCGGCAGCGAAACGGAGGAGGACGATGTGGGAAGTGAGACAGTGAGCGGCAATGACAATGGGGTGGATAGATCTGTCGCAGATAGCGAGGCGCAAAAAAAAGTGGACGAGGATCGCAGCAATCCACAGTACATACCTAAGCGCGGCACTTTCTACGAGCATGACGATCGCACAGCGGAGACTGAGGGCGAAGTGGCTGCAGAGGCTGTTAGCACACCAGGTGACTCAGAACCAGCCAACGATGCAAATGGAGTTATTGCCATAGGTGCAACACCCGGTGCACAGACGCCAACCATTTCTCAAGCTTCCAAGACCATGAAAAAATGGCAGCCAGCATCTGGAGTGGAACGCTGGTCGCATGACCGCTTCGATGCTAATGAGCAAGCGCCCAAGACTCGATCAGAACTGCTGCAGGCCTACGGCTATGATATTCGTAATGAGGATGCTCCTCCTCGTGCGCGAAGACGTAGGCGCTATGGACGTGGGCCTAGTAAGTACTCACGCAATTGGGAGGATGAGCAGGCCTACCTCAAGGCAAGTAACAAGGAGCGCAAGCCTCCTCGCCCGCAGGATTTCCCGGCCTTAAACGAACGCACTAAACCGCGCCGACCCCGAACCTCATCGTCCAAAGAAGAGAAGGAGAATCGTGGCGAACGTGGTGAGCGTGGTGAGCGCGGGGAGCGTGGGGAGCGAAGTGACCGCAGGATTGCCAACACTTCTGGGGCTGTAGAGCGACAGCACACAAGCAGCGCTGGCCCGACAGCAGCAGGAAGTGGCCCGATGCCATCAAAATCGCACGACCCACGCGATCGCGATCATAAGAATCGCCAGTATGGTCGTGTCAATGGCGGACCCAATCGGTCTGGACGACAAAACGCCATGGAATTTAAACAAAAGTCGAATCGTGGTACACTGCATCGTGGTGAGCAACGTGATTTCGCCGACCACAGAGCTGAACGTGAGCATCAGAAACCGATCACGCCACGAAGTGCCGGGCAGACAAAGCAAATGGTTGAAAACTCGCCCCAGCAGCAGCAACAACATTCACAACAGCAGCCATCACAGCAAATTCAAAAACAGCACCAAGTGCCGCAGCAACATCCGCAGCAGCCACTTTTGTCGCAGCAACCACAGCTAGGTCAGTCGAATCTTTCACAGCGTTTACAACAGGTGCAGCAACGGAATGATCCCAGTCATGTGGGCAGCGTACAAATGCATGCCCTTGCTACACAAAATCAACAGCAGCAGCAGCAACAACAGTTGCATATTGCTCAACAACAGCAACAACTGGCACATCAGCCGCAACAGCCACAACAGCAACCGCAGCCGTTGGAACAACGCAATGCACCCAAACGTTACTCCAGTCTCCGTCGTTCTCAGCAAGAGGCCACACAGCAACAACAACAGCAGCAGCATATGGTGGAACACCAGCAACAGCAAATTCAGCAACAGCTGCATTTGCAGCAGCAACAGCAGCAGCAACAACAGTCGCAGATAATGCTGCAAGATCCACATATGCTGATGCAAATCTATCAACAACAGGATCTGCAGGCGCAACTGCAGACACTGCAATTGGGCCCCGCGCCGACTCCGACTGCTGTCCCCCAACAGCCCAAACAACATCCACCAGCCGCCTATCCTCAGACACAAGCAGCTCCCTACTATGTTACTGGTGTTGGAGAGCCTGTGCCACAGGCAGCATACGGTAATCCAGCCAGCGCCGCCTATTTACCTCCCACGCCTGCGGCCGTGGCATACGCGCAGGCACAGTCAGCCGTACAGACAGTGGTGCAACAAGCGCCGGCACCGCCAACGGCACAACCTTCAGCACAGCCCGCACAGGCACCGCCGCCGTCCTTGAATTATCATCAGAATTATAACACAGTTGGTGGTACCACATACTTTGTGCCACCCGCGCAGGCTTCAACACGTCCGTCGGCGCTGCCACAGCGTCGTCCAACCAATGCGATTCCAATACTGCCGCCATCGGAAAAACATAAGACCCGTTCTGGTATTAATGCCAATGTTACGCCGAATACAAATTCAGCTTCCAAGTCCGACGAGGCCCCAATTGGCAGTGCCGAGAATATTGATCACATTATAGATAATATGTTTGTGCAGCGACCGGCATTCCAGCCTCCGCCTACGGCTGCAGCAAGTAGCACACAGACGGCTGGGGAAACTGGAGGCACTACAACGAACAAGGCTGGAGAAGATGCTAACAGCAATGCGACTCCCGCACCGGCTCCACTAGAACAGAGTCAAAAGACTGTTGCTGTCGCTGGGCAGGAATGAGTGGACGTAGTCTATGGATAGCCACAGATTAGAGCACTAAATTCCAAGTTTAGTCCCAACGCTGCCTCAGTTCCTTTGCCACCATTCGCTCATTAGCTTTTAAGCTAGGGCGGCGCAACCGTCTTGCTATTTCCTCTTCTTTTTTTTTATTTTTCAAGTCTGTGACTTCAATTTTCTTTTAATTTTTTTTAGATCCGCAGATAGCTGCGTGGTAAGAACTTTGTAATTAGCTATTAGAATGGCGGCGGTTCATCACTGCCGGCCCCTCCAAATAATTGCACGTACTAACATAAACACAAATTTACTTATAATCCAGCGCGGAAGTAAATCAGTGTAGTTGTAGTTGATCAGTGGACGGCGTTCGGCTACCAGGTTTATTAAATCTTTTGTAGCAGGAGTCGAGGTGTTGTCATCACTGGTGCTTAGCCCATTTAGCCGCATTTTGAAGTTTAATAATTATATAATTGTAACTGCGCAAACTCATTGAATTTAAATAAAAACTTTGAACAAAAAAAAAAAAAAAAAAAAAAAAAACAACACTAATGCAATATTTTATTTCCTTTGGAATGATATTTAATTGCCATTATTGTAATTAAGAGTTAAATTTTCACAATAAAATTAAAATTGGCTATAAAAGCGTCTAAATTTTGCGAGAGTCCGTCCGACCACATGCATTTTCTAAAAATGATACTCCATTGTAGGAGCTACGGTAACGAATGGGAGATTTTGTAACATCAAAAGAACATGACCTTTGCTAAACGAGTTTTACAGTGTGATTAACGTATAAAAGTATAAAAATGCGGGACAATATTAGACATAGACATTAGTTTAATTTCACTCATTTAGAGTTTGGAGTCAGGGAATTCTTCCAATAGCACTCGCATACGGCGAAATGATTCTTTGAAGATCTCATTAAATTTTCGAGCGCTGGTCTTCGCACTATCGCGGTAGGCAGTAGTGTTGATAAAAATGCTGCAAAAATATAATTTATTGGGCTGTTTAGGGTTACATACACATGTAATTCGTTCTATGAACTTACGCGTTCGATGTTATAGAATAGAAAACACCATAGCCATCCATAGTCATGGGCGCCACATATCCCACATTGGCCGTGAAGCCAAGTGTGCTGGTGGATAGGACAAAATTGCCGCCGCCGCCGCTTTTCGCATACAGCGGATCATCGAAAAAACTGGGAATATCCAATTTGTTCTCATATGCAGCACACCATAGTCCAAATAAATGACGATCGACGCCATGGCCCTTACGGGCCTCATCCATCATGCGTCTGTGATCAGTGACAGCGGTGCGAAAAGCCTGAGCGAGGCTTGAACCGCTTGTTGTCGCATTGGATGCAATGCAGAGAAACTGATGCACCGCAGCCGTACAGGAACGCAACGTCTCAGTGCGTCCATTGTAGTAATGACGCATTAGCGCAGTTTCATAAATGGGCGCAATCCTATAAAGGAAATTGGTGAGTCTTGGTCGGATGTAGGCGTGTCTTCTTACTCGTTGTGCATTTGTAAGTAGGCCCATTGCATGATCACCTGAACAAATGAGTCAGGATGCAGTTTATGGGGCTTCATGAAGTCCTTTCCGTACTCAGTGAAAACGGTAAAGGTGACAGTTACATCCATGCCCTATTTAAGAGTAAATGGATGAAATAATAAATATACTGCAGGTGCCAGGCAGTCCACCAATTTCTTACGCGCTGTTCCACCTCTTTGCGCACACGTCGAATCTGGTCACGCAGCTCATCATCCAACTGAAATGTTATCTCTTGCAGCGGTGCAATTTTGGCCTGCTCCGCCTCACTCCAGTCCGGCTCCCCACACTCCAGTAAACTCAATTGAATAAAGGTTGCGTAGCTGACGCTTACAGTGCCATCGTAGCAACTGTGCTCGCCCGTAAAGGTGAATCGTCCGTTCTTGAACGATGTCAGGGTACTGCTCCGATCGGCCCAGCGACTGTGATAATCGCCATAGAGGCCCATCTGAGAAGTCTCCTCATAGTCTTTGGGCTCGTGGTCATCCCAGCAAATACTAACGGCTGAACTTTCAACAAGACGCAATGCTTCCTTATTGGCATCCGATATCTCCATGATACGATTGCGATTCTGTAAAGAGATCACATACCAATTAGGTCGCCACAATTCATGTTACCAGTTCAACTGTCCACTTACGTTTGCCCAAGAGGTACGATCATCATGTGTGAGAACTGGCACGCCATCGCCCTCGGGTTCATAGTCAACGATGCTCCGTATGCGTTGCAATTGAACCAACAGCTCGGGGGCCGTCAGTATTATATCATTGTCATTCACGCCATTGAAAACGAACTGTCGCCCTTTAGCTGAGACGAGAATGTGCGTGGGCGTGCGTCCCTCGGATGTCGTAAGGAAGTGCTTCTCGATGTGATCCTGCTCAATGCCCGGAACGCGAGATGTGGAGTAGAAACGTTTGTATAGGGCCGAAGAGTACTTTATCTTGCCGCCACCGGATGAGAGCGGTTTAATGGTGGCCTTGCGAGTCAGATCCCAGAACTCCATCGTGTGGTGAACGAGGCGAGCTAAGCCCTATGATGTGGCGAATAATTACCTCCTCTTTAAGCAATTGGTTGATTTTATTTTATTACCTTAAGCATGTATTCCGGCGTCTCGGGAGATCCCACCATTTCAAGTTGCGCCGCCATCGACATGATTTGATAGGGCAGCAGTGGAAAACGTAGTAAATGATAACCATAATCCTCCCACCAGGTGCCCAGCCAGTTTTTCATTTTTGCTGCACGATCCTTAAGCTTCTCATGCAATTGACCCCCAATGCCAAGTTCGAACTCCTGTATAGCTTTTCGTGTCTGCGCCAGTTCCTCTGCATTCCCAAATGGCAGCACAGACAGATAGTAGCGCTCCATGGTTTCACGTAGCGTGGGTAGTGGCAATGCTGGCAAAGTTTCATCAAAGTCGTAGGTGTTCTTGTCATTCTGGTCCATAAAATAGAGACTGGCACGATCCATTTTGCTCCGCTTCTATTTGACGACTGCAAATAGATAATGAACTAATGATAGAAGCTTGCCCTTTGTTTACATTATTCATATTGGCTTTGTCATGTTGCAATATTCTTAGCTAACACCACTTTACACCACATGTATGTACATACATACACCCTCGATAAGTTAAACAAAATCACTTTCGATTCCAATTTACGTCAAGGTCCAAAGTACCAAAGTCTTGGGCAGTCAGGCCGCCAATTCAAAGTCTATGGTAACCCGACCATTAGCATGTAAAAGGAAACATTTGGTGGCCTGATCATCAGCTCTGAATTGAGTAAGTCGAATTGTTTGTAAAGCTCTCCCAACCGGCTGTCTCCAATTCAACCTAATGACGCTCTGCTCAACTGACCTTTGTACCCAATCAAAAATTGCTGCCTTCTTTTCGATACAACCTATACGTAAGAGTGCCACTGCACGACTAAGTAGCAACGACTACCAAGTGATGTTTGCTTAGTTTGGGCTTGCGAAGAGGGTTGTGCACTTGTTAGCTGATAACAAAATTAGAAGCTGGAAGTACCGCCGGCTGGCACATTATCAGATAAGCACAGCCCGACTGCAATCTGATACTAATTTGCATGATTCATAAAATAGCAACTGATCTTTGATCTAAAAACTAATACAGATGTATATATCTATATTTAAGTACATACAAGAAACCACAATGAAATGCAAATGGTTAAAATAAATTCTTTTGTATGAAATTATTATATGCACATACATACATACATACATACATACATATATCAATGGATTTCGCTTATTTTGCGTTGTTTGCAATATTTAAACGAATATAATAATAGTAGCGTTAGTTTTTTTTATTGTTTACAATTGTCTTGAGGATAATATGCGGTATATTTAAAATCAGTCGATAAAATCACTTCGATACAGTTGCAAATTTTTCAAATTTTTTATGTTTCTTTACGCGCGTCTGCGTTTAATTTACACTTACTGTTACCATATGATTCCAATCAACTTTCACAATTGGACCCGCTGCTTTTATACATCTCATTCTTATTGGAAACGGCTACTTAAATGTAAAATGTGGTGGGAAAAATTGTATATACATACATACATATGTAAATAATTTTGCATATCTCTAAAAATCTGGATAAACGTTTATCTTTGTTTTAAATACATCTCTGTTTCTGTTCCATTAATTTGAACGTGATTTAAATATCATAAACAAAGTCCTGTGCGTTGTCAGCAAAGTTGTATGTACGCGAAAGGTTCCAATACGTCACTAAGCAGCTGTTTGATAGAGATGCCACATTTTCGTTAACGACTTCGAATTATTCTATGTGCCGACAAATATTTTTATTTCCCTAAAAACACTAAATTTTCGTATGTCCACAGTGTAAATGCGTTATTCACAAAAAGGAGGGAAAACATCGCAACTACAAATTGTTCGGCAGTCGCACATAAAGGGGATATGTAAAAGGTGGCAACGCAAACATATGAATAATATTCTCACGAATTACACCAAAAAGCAAGCGAAGCGGTAATAGATAGAACTCTTGAAGGACGCTTGTTTTTTTTTAGGTTTCAGCATAGTGGGATGTTGCCCTCAACTGGGCTCTTCCGCAGCATTGCTTGTCCGTATTTTGACAGCAGCGGCAGTGGAACGAAAGCCAGCGGCGATAGCAGCGATGTGACTTCTTTCCCTTGTGAGCGTCCCTTTTGTCATTTTAAGCATGTCCGAAAAGGTAAGTTAGCAATACACCTTCCAAGCTTTCACTAAAGCATCATTTTTTCAGAGGACTCTGAGGCGGCGCCACCCGCCGAGCCCGATAAGGTGCCCAATTACAAGCCAACACCAGCACCAAAACTGCTCTCACTGCCGCTGCCGGAGATGGTGCATAGTACAGTAAAAAAGAAATCTCAGCTTGAGTACCACCCGGAAAAGCCAGCCCTGAACGCCTCACCCGCCAAGAAAAAACTCGATACCAATGCAAGCACTGCCCCCAAATATGTGCCCGCGCCGGCAATCAATACAAGTGTCAATGGTGCCAGCGACGATTGGCAAGTCGGTATTGAAGAGGACGAACTGAACAAACAAATACAATTGGAGCTCGATGAAGCTATGGAACTGACTATGCAGTTGGAGCAGTTCAAGGAAGTAAATGACAATGCTGAGGAAGATAAAAATGAGCACGATCTACCAGAAATGCAATTGGACCTGGGAGGTGCAGAATCAAAAAGTAGCAGGGAAAAGTCAGTAACTCGCAGTGAACATAAATCTAGTAAGGAGAGTGAAAAGCGAAGTGAGAAGGACAGAAGGAGCTCTTCCAAAAATTCCCATAGGGACAAAACTAAATTAGAACACCGTAGCTCCAGTTCGAAGCACAAATCATCATCATCCAAAAATACGCCGGCCTCATCGTCCTCATCACATAGAAAAGATTCGAGCAGAAGTAATCACAAAGACGAGAAGAGTTCCAGTAGCAAGCACAAGAGCAGTTCATCATCCTCATTGAAGAGTCGTGACCATGCCTCTAGTTCAATGGAACGCAGTTCTTCCAGAAGTTCATCAATTACATCATCTAAGACAAGTACAAAAGGCAAGTACAAAGCCGAAACGGTTAAGATTGCGACGAAACCAGCACACACTACGTCATCTAATGACTACAAGGAATTAGAGTGTATCTCTGAATCTGAAATGGAGGCGACTGAGGAGGAAATTGCCCGACAGTGCGAATCAATTTTCGACGACTTAGAAATTAAATTTGGGGCCATGCACAAAAGTGATGAAAGTGGCGATGAAGCGACACGCAAACGCAAGGCTTCGCCAGACATCGAAATGTATACTGAGGCAGTTACTGCAGCTATTCAGAAGCGGCGTGTGGCCCACGAAAATGCCGATAAGTCGAAGCTGTCCACTCCAGATCTTGCGCGCAAGCCGAATCATATTCGCAATGCTATGCAGGCAATTTTTGACCGACGTACGGAACTGCGGCGTCAGGAAAAGCTGCGTGCCGAGGCAGATGCAGAACAAATCCGTCAAGCACAGGAGCGCGTGCGTGCTGCTCAGGAGGAGTTGCGTCAGGCACAAGCCCAAGCACAAGCTCAGGAACTAGCTCAGGTGAAGAAGCCCATGCTTACACCTTTAATACCAAAGCTTGCGTTAACACCGCCAACCCGCATTGGTAAGTGCCAATAAAAACAAGTAAAGTGTTTTGACAATTTTGTCTAACAATAGGATAGCCATTTATCAAATCTTGATAATTTTAAATACTAACTCATTAATTACAGGACGTGGCATTGCGCCAGTGGCCAATATGATGGCCATTGCTCGCGCTAAGAAAAAAATTGAGGAATTGCAAGCTGAAAAAATGAAGCCCGCTTTCACACCATCACAAACTGCCAAGGGTACCTCCCGTGTGGCCCACAAACCTACCGCGGCGTTAGACAAGGTAGCCCCAGTAGCTGTGGAAAAGCCACCAGTGCTGGAGCCAAAGAGCTCCAAGATTTCGTACAATATACGAATGCAGTATTACGAATTGATGGTAAAGCAATGCACCATTATCTATCCCCAATTAGTAGATGCCTGGGAGCGTGCTCAAATCGAGGAGCTTGCTGTCTTTAAGAAATGTAGTACACCGTCCATCTATAAGAACAGTTCCATGTTGACTATCAACAAGTTGCGCAAGGAGGCCATAGAGGCGGGCAATCGTCCGAGTGTAGCTAACAAAACTGTTTCCCACGCGATGATTCTGGGTGGTAAGCGAGCGCTGAATACTTCATGGAGTGTTGAGAAAAAGGAGTAAGCACAAAGGAAGATATAGATAGAAATAAATATTGATTATCATATTACTCGTATTTGCAGCCGATTAAGCTCTACTGGAAGTGGTGAGCCCTTTGATGCGCTAAGTGGAGAAAAGGCGTACAAAATGGTGTACGAATTGCGACTCACTGAGCAGCAGTTAGTTGAGAATGGCTATCCACGACCAGGCGTAGGTCGCGGCACTGCAGTCATAAAAGCCTGCCGCCCAAATCGACGTCCCAACGAAACTGAACGCTATTGCAGCCGCTGCGGTCAGATCTTTAATCTAAACATTTATGAGCGCAAGTGTGTCGATTTATGTAACTATCATCCAAAGAGTACAGGATACCGGCGCGGCTTTACGGACAACCACCATCGCTGCTGTCAGCAGCCTGCTGGGACTCCAGGGTGCTCATATGCCAATTATCATGTTACAGACTATTTTGATCCTGACAAGTTGACGTGCTTTGTGAAAACGATGAACAAATGTGAAGAGTATGTGCCCAGTAAGAAAGATATATTTGCGTTGGACTGTGAAATGTGCTACACAACCCACGGCATTGAACTGACCAGAGTCACTGTCGTGGATATAACCGGTCGTACTGTGTACGATGCGTTGGTGAAGCCAGATAACCTTATTGTGGACTATAATACGGTGTAAATATATCAAGATTGTAGCTCTCTTCAAAAATATTAATTATACACTTCTCCTCTGTAGTTATTCGGGTATCACAGAAGCTATGCTCTCGAATGAGACGCGCAATTTACGCGATGTTCAAGCCGTGCTTATGTCTATGTTTCACACGAAGACCGTGCTAGTCGGTCATAGTCTGGAGAGCGACTTAAAGGCCTTGAAGCTTATTCATGATGTTGTGGTAGATACATCGGTACTGTTTCCGCACAAGATGGGACCGCCAAAAAAGCGAGCCCTTAAGACGTTGTGCATAGAGAATCTTAAACGCATCATACAGGAGAATGGTGGGTTATTGTACGGAACAATTCAAGACCCTTTAAAATTGAGCTTCTTATTTTACAGAGGCCGGTCACGACAGCGCTGAGGATGCCGAGGTCTGCATACAGCTTATTAAGTATTACTTACGTCAAAAAATAAGTTGAGCGATCGCCAAAACCAAACAAAAACTTCCTTTCTGTGCATACTTGTACGCACACACACATACCATTCTTTATTACACACATACAGATGTATGTCTTCAATATTTGATATTTTTGCACCAAATCTCACGCACTCACTACATAAAATTGTTAAAATGTAGGACCTATTGTAGCGTGAGTAACATAATTCATCCAAGCGTCAGAAAGGTTGAAGGCGTCGAAATCAAAAACTGTAAATGTAAGAGCGCATTAGTTACAAAAATACTAAGATATCATAAATAGCTATAAAAATAAATTAAGCATAACTTACCACACAATCTATTTTATCGGCTTCAAATTGACGGAATCCCAGAGGCGTATAAACTCTTGCTCCAGACGTTTGCATATCTTGGGATTGCTAACAGCAAGGTAATCATCCCAGCTCTTAGGCTGGCCAACCCAATTAAGTGATCCCGTCAAAGCAACAGTAGTCGGCATTAAAGTAGAATGGTTTGGGGCCAACTCCTTAACACGTTGATAGCCATCGATGATGCAGATTTTGTGATGCATCATGGTGTCGCCGCGCATTGCCCACTTTATTGGCAACAACTTCCGGACCAGCATGCAATCAGTATACTTTGCGAGCAGACGCATCAAATTCTTCTCACAAAGAACCCGGACGATCACTCCACGCTCGTGGGCCCTGCGAAGCGCCGCACCAATCGGATCCGCACTCATGGCATATATGGCAATGTCAATAGAATACTGCGCCGCGTTCAAATATTTGACAATAAACTCAATGTGCTCAAAGTAGCAGATAGTGCCCTCAGCCGTCTCTACATAGGTCGGATGGAAATTGTTGGAGTTATCGGCAAAGACATATATCATTTCGTTGAAGCGCATGGCGGCGCGGCCCGCACGAAATTCTTCCCGAATGCGTTTGAAATGCCCGACAATATCGCGAGGATCTTCTATGCAGAGTTTTATGAATTTGATGATATAATACAGCATTTTTTGTTGTTGTCGTTTATGTTAATGCGATGATAATATATTTAGCTTTGCAGGTCCTGGAGATTCGCTTTTCAGGTTCAACTTTTTTCGCATTGACATCGGCATCTGACATCTGTCAAAACCAGCGAATTCGTTGCTTTCAAATTATGTAGTGTTACACAATCATGCATCATCATATGATACGAGCCTTGAACACTTAATTCGTACGGCATGCCTTTTTACCCTCATGCAATGTTTAATTTTTATAGCCTGTACCCAAAGGGTGAAAGGCTATACTAGTTTTGTGCGCATGTATGTAACACACAGAAGGAGGCGTGGCAGACCCCACAAAGTATATATATTTTTGATCAGGATGACAAGACCAGTCGCTATAGCCATATCCGTCTGTCAGTCTGTCCGTCCGTCCGTCTGTCTGTATGAGCACAAGGGTCTCAGGAAGTACAAGAGCTAGAATAACTTGGTATCGAGGTTCCCCTAAGTCCTAGGCAGGTCAAGTTTATTTTTTTTATCAATGAAATCAATTTTGGTAGTTACATTCAGTTAGTGCTTATGCTAATACAACAACAAAAACATTAATTTATTTGAATGTTTTGCTTAACTGATACGAAAAATTTGGCTATCTAGTCAAATCTATAAATAGTAATACAGTGCAGAATGTAAAAAATGTGGACTTACTTAAAGTTAATCAGGGAATTATTAATAATTATTAAATCTCCAATTATATTAAAAAACACATGCCAAGTTGTAATCAAACTTTAAAGCCATTCAAAAAAAAAAAAAAAAAAAACAAAAAAAAAACACAAATTGTTTTGTTTTTAACATGATTGTTGATGCTGGTGGCGATTTTGAGCCGTGATAGAAAACGCTACAGTCGAGCAATCCCGACAGTGAAATACCCTGCACCCAGACAAACTTCAAGCACTGAGTTATAAACGCCCACAGCGGAAGCAAAAAGAAGAAGATGAGGTAGCTTGATGCTGTGCTTATGGGTGTAGTACTTGAGTGAAATTATCCTTTCATAGTGTAGGTTGGCGATAAGAAGGGATTTTGGAAAATTCGAGCTCCAAAGGGGGGAAAACAAGCTCCAAAATTTGCTTGAAAAATCTTCAGTTTTCCACCAATCAACTTTAAATTTGATTTTTATAATCTATAAAAGAATACAAACAAAACTGCATACTCGGATTTTCGAAATGTGTGTTGGAGCTTGAATTATTGGGGTTTTAATATTTATTCACCTTTTCCGATTCAAATTTGGGGACTGTAATCTAAGTAACTAAATCTACAACTTTGCGTTCAAGGATTTTCAAAATATGTATTTTACAAATGCAGACAGAACAAATAATACAAAATATCAAACAGTTGGGGACAACTAAGTATACATACAAACACACACATACAAGCAGCTGTTCGTGCAGTTGCGTGCAAACGATTGAAATAGCCAAAGCAAAATGTGAGACACTAATGTGTACATATGTACACATCTATGTACATGCACACATTTATGTATGTATGTATGTATGTGTGTTCCTTCGTCTTGCACTGACAGAGCAAGAAATGTTTATTACTTAAAAATTATTTAACATCTTTAAAAGTAATTTTTTTTTGTTTAGTACATTTGGCATTAGGGTTTTCATTAGAAACTTTATGCAGCAACAACAAATTACAAAGAACGCAAATATGAAATAGTTGGGGATATCATATACACACACAGAACAAGCAACAGTTCGTGTCTATGTGTGCGGTTCTCTACGTACGGTTGAAAAAGAGAAATATGCATGCATATGTACAGACATATGTATGTACATATGTATGTATGCCTGTGTACGAACATACATACATATGTATATAGGATGTATGTACATTTGTATGTATGTATGTATGTATACATTGGACAATCGAGCACTGTTGTTTGATTGTAATAAATAATCTATGGTTTTAAATCAAATTTATAAAACGAAAAACCACAACAACAACTGTAAGTCATTGGCTCGCTCTTCTTTCGTTTTAATCATTTACGCCTGTCAATTTCAAAGGCAAAATGCGAAAAGTTTACAGTTACCGTCGCTAGGCAACGACTGCGTAAGCGATAGTAAAGCAGAAATGAAAGCGGACCTACGCATATTCTTCTTCACGTTGCGGGCAGATGTACATATGTACATATGTATGTTTGTATATGATTTGTTCTAATTGATCTCAATAAATTATAAGATGTTATTATTTAAATTTTCTGTTAATTGCATTCAAACTTCGATGGAATTATTGATTGTATCGCCGGATTCAACTATCGATAGTTTTGATGCTCTAGCACATAGAGCATCCGACACATGCCCATCACTAGCATCTCAGGTGATCGCAAAAACGGGCAAAAAAACCATAGTGCAATGTTAGGTAATGTAGCATCTGAATGGTAAAGTATTAAGCATGAGTATGATTATCTCATACTCAATAACTTACTCTTAGGCCAAGGAAAAACCATTGCTTATGCTTCAGCAAAAAGAGCAACATCATATTTAGAGATGAAGCTAAATTTGTTTTGAGTATCAGTGCTGAGCGAAGAAGAGTCATCCGTGCAAATGCAAAAGCGTACCACAAAGGCTGCCTTAAAAGGACAGTCCCACAGTTTCCACAAAGCATAATGGTGTGGGGTTGTATGCATTTTATTGAGGGTATTGTCAATGCTGACCAAAGTGTTAAAATACTTATTAGAAGAAAGTTTGCTGCTATCAATACGTGGTGAATACACATTTCAGCAGGATGGAGCCTCACCTCAGACTGCCAAACGGATGAAGAAATGGCTGCAGTATAAATTAAGGTCCTAGATGGGTCATCAAATAGTCCAGATTTAAGTCCAATCAAAAATATATGGGAACAATTTAAAAGAAATTTAAAAAATAAGCCTCAAAGAACCCTTTTGATTTGAAAACGAAATTGCAAGAAATGTGGTACTCAATTTCAAGAGAACAATGCTTAAATTTACTAAAATATATGCCAAAACATTGAAAATGTGTTGCAGAGGCCAAAGGCCATGTTTGTTTGTATTTTTAATCAAATAATAAATATGTAACGCAGGGTACGAATTAATTGTGGTCACACTTTTCTCATCAGTTACACAAAGCATTTAACTAAATTAATGTTATTGTTGTTAGTGTTGTAAATACAAAAACATTTTTTTTCTAAAGTTAAGAGAATAAAATTATCTTTCTTAAAAAATATAATTGCATGTGTTATCTACATTAGTATTGAAAATATCGTCTATTGAACATTGCATACGGGTAAAAAAGCATCTCGTATGAATTAATAGTGGTCGGGGCTCGTATATAAGTATGTACATACATATATGTATTAGTTTATCGGTTGAAATAAAATTCGGGAAATTTATTGAAAGGATAATATTGAAATATAAAGCAGGTATTAGAGACATTCCCGTACAAATTTATATTTGTACACTTTCATCTAAATCAAATCTAAAATAGTACCATTTTTGTTAAATAAAATCGAGAATACCTCGGATCGGCCTGAAGTCGGAACAACCACTTTTGGTTTACTTTTAAGATTTTATTTTACTGATCAGGTGAAGTCACAAATGTCTGATATAAATATAATAAATTTATATTGATATATTTCTAAATTTTATTTTTTTAAACTATAATGCAGGTCTTATATGGAGCATCTGGGGACTTCTATAATCTTGATCGACAAAACCAAACATAAATCAGGTGAAGTCACAAATGTCTGATATAAATATAATAAATTTATATTGATATATTTCTAAATTTTATTTTTTTTTAGACTATAATGCAGGTCTTATATGGAGCATCTGGGGACAAAACCAAACATAAATCTAAGAGAACACGTATGTACATATATAGAGCTATAAGTATATTTAAAAACTAGTAACTGATTAGCTCTTACCTTTCTCTTAAACTTAATTCAAGGCCTTTAATTCAATAATTAACACAAAGCCATCGCCTTTGTGTTCATTCGATTTCAAAGCAATGTTGAGTAAAAAACAATAATATCGCCGACGATGATGCAGCAATAGACGTTAGTTGCCTGCAGAAAACAACGCAAAGAGAACTGCTTGCATTCATTTAGGA